GTCCCCCGCCTACTGCCCAAAGACAGCTGGGATAAGCTCCAGCACCCCCCGCGACCTTTGTGAGGATAAGCGGATCGGAAAATGGATGGATGGATGGATGGATGGATAAAAAATGAACTGACAGGCTAAAATCGCTTAAAGTGTTATATTGTTATCGATTTTAAATCATCAGCCAAAGATGCAGTCAAATCTGCAAGTGGTTTTTGGAACGAGTCCGCTACGCAGCATTTTGTTGCTGTTTTAAGATTATCGTTACTTTAGCGTCATTTAAAAGGTTTGGGTGTTTGCTGTTTTTTTTTTTTGTTTGTTTGTGACATCATTTAAGTGCGGCGCCATTTGCAAACCAATGACAATGTGTGCAATTGATACAAGAGTGTAAGCCGCCCCCCCCCCCCCCCCACCCACAAGACATTCTTGTAAACATTTTGTCAGTTCTTCCCCCCTTGGACACCGTTTTTCCCCCCACACACACACACACACACACACACATACACAAAGGGAGAAAGTGAGGAATGGAGATGGCACAGGAAGTAGTTGAAAGTCAGGGACACCTTTCCGATGCCGATGACACTGGGGTTCAAGCGGTTTTCTGAGGAGAAGGGATATGGGAATATGTGTCATTGAAGAAACACAGCTGTGTGCGCACACACATTTTCCTGGTCCAGCTGGGGTGTTAATTTCACCCCGAGGCTGTGTAAGTGTTGACCCCAAAAGCGCTGTAACCTCGTGAAGTGAGGAATTCTCCGAGCCCGAGGCCTTAATGTGCTGTTTCCTGTCCAGCGACTACATTCCTTTAAGTTGTCCCGTCTGTTGCTCTGCCAACTTTGGGTGGCAACCACCGCATTTTGTCCCAGCATACGACGACATAGGATGCACCTCTTCCCACATTTGCGCAATGTGCTCTTTGCAGTGGACTTGAACGGAGCCTGGGGGGTCAACTTTAACTCCCGAGTGTTGAGTGTATCAGACAGGCTGGCCTGCTAGTGCACTGTCTTCAAATCACTTCCATGCGTGCTCCTTTTTTGGGGGGGGGGGGCGGCGTAACGTCAGCACATGTCGCTGTGCTTTGACGTGGGCTGCTATTAATGAGGACTATTACAAACATGCGATCAGAAGGGAATGCTGCTCGTGGTTTGCGGAATAAAAAGAAATCAAGTATGTTTTCCTAATGCCCCGAGACATGACTCCCCTCTCCCCCTGCCTCTTGCCTGGGTGGTCCGGCCCCAGCAGAATAAGCATGCTTATGTTTAACTTTAATGCCATTACAACGGCCTGCAAATATTCAACCTATGCCCGCTTACACCAACCAAGCTGTTTTGTAAAATTGGGTTAAGACATCATAAAATGGTACAGATTTTTCACACACGCTTGGTGCTTCATTTGCGTCTTTGCGGATATATACGCAGATTCCAGTTTGCAAATCTGCACAAATCTGGTTGGTATCATTCTACCTCGGCAGTGGTCTGCGTTCAAACCGAGTTCCTCCCTCTGCAACTGCTTCTGGATGTCTAATTCTTCGCTGCATATTAAGTTTGCTCTTGCTGGACGCCCGTGAGACAATGCGGATGTCAATTTTGTTTGATTTGTGGGAAAAAAAGGCTACCAGGGAGTCGGAGCTAACTAGTGGCAATATGATACAGGGGAGCAAGAGAGGAGTCTATTTGAGATGACATTACATTTGTACTTGCTGCATAGCCGTCAGACCATTCTGTGTATTCGGTTTGATGCTGATTGGATTGAACCACTTTGTGGAAACATGGCTGTCGTAAAGACTACGTCATCAAAGCTACCTAGTGGCACCATGATAGGGAGGAAAAGCATCTTTTTTTTGGGCACTTATTGCTGCACTTGCTTCCTGGCTGTGAGTCCATGCTATGTGTATTTTGTTTGATGAGAATGAGGTTGGAACACTTTGTGTTAACGTGGCTGCAGTAAAGATGATTAAATCTACGTAGTGGTGACGTGATCGTGGGAGAAAGTATCTATTTGAGGGCAAGTTACTGCCGCACGGCTGTGAGACCATGCTAATGTGTGTTTTCTAAAACCAAATTGGAACACTTAGTTTAAATGTGGCTAGTTATGTGCATTACAGCTGGATAGCGGCCCCATTATTGGGGATCGCGGGAAGGAGCCATCGCTACATCACATTACATTTGCACTTGCTGCATGGCTACGAGATCATGTCGATGCGTAGTTTGTTTAATGCCAGATTGCTAACCAAATCGGGCTACATTATGGAAACTTGGCTCCAGTAAAGGTTCTTACAATACCAAGTGGCACCATGATAGTGTAACGTTACAGTCGCGCTTGCTGCAGGGCTGTGAGACCATGCTGCATTTCTGAATGAATAATCCATGGAACTTGGTACCAAAATTCAGGCATATGAAGGGAGCTTATCTATGAAGGTTTACAATTTCATTCTGGCTTGAATTTGGTTTGAATCCCTCCGTTGTTATCGCTCCCAAACATTATTCTTCAGTGATGAACGCATGATCATGATGGTTCATCTTTAGCAGAGGTGGGCGAGCTAGCGTAGCTTTATCCATGTGGTGTGGCATTCCTCTGTGGACATGTTTGCACGAGTGCAGTCGCATACGTTTGTCTACCCATGTGTGTTAATGTGAGAGGCTTTGCCAGGGCAGTCTTGGCCGTGCCGGGGAGGAGGCGGCCAGCGGAAGGAGCTGAAAGACCGCTTTTGTAGCCGGGGTGAGCTGAGAGCTGAGGGCGCACGCACACGGTTTAGTCCCACCATGATACTGGTAGCTGAAGCTGGAAGAGAGCCATCCTCTTTATCACACACATATTCAGTCTACGTCGTCTGGCACAGCGTGTTCGAGTGGAAGCGTCGAATGTGGATTTGCTCATTGGCTGCCTGCAAGCAAAGTGCTGTTGTTCAAGATATAAATGTGATAAGGTTGAGGTCAGCCCCCAATCGATTTTTGTTCGCAGACAGGGGAAGCGGAAAAAAAAAAATCACTCAACATATCCTACACCACAGGACAACTGGTCAGGATAACAGTTTGTGAGACATTCGGTAGTCAGCCCTTTTATGATTTTGATTGGAAGGGAATGAAGAGGCTATCATTTTGTCTGTTTTTCAGCATGTGTGTAACCTGCTTCAAACGTTTCCAAACTTGTAGCACATGTGGTTAGTTTGTTTACAGTAGGACATTTTGGACCCATGTTATTCAATTCCGTTTCAAGCCGTATGAAGGATATCAGTTGAAACACCTCCACGACAGTGTCATCTGTCACCGTGGGACCTGTTGACCTAAAGGCAAAATACCCTTTTAAAATAATATCTGAGTCGGAAAAATAAAACAAAACTGACAGTTGAAAGGCAAACTCCCCACAGAGAAGCAGACTGCGTTTTTTTCCCTTTTCTTTTACCTCTTCTTTTATAACTGATACCAAATCTTATCAGGGCCACACTTGTTGCAACGGAGCATATATGCCAGTGTATGTACCATCAAACATTTCCAAACATCTAGTCCTTAAAAAAACAAACAAACAAACAAACAAACACCAAAAACATACGTTTTCCACCAATTCATTTTCAACGGCTGCATCTTCTTTCGCAGTGGGCGGGCGTGTGAACCAGGAACTGAAGTACACGCGACAAAAGATCGGCGAAGAGGCCATGTTCAACCCTCAGCTCATGATCCAGACACCACGGCAGGAAGGAGCCAGCGTGCTGACTGTGGACGCGCTCCAACAGCACCTGGAGTCAGCCATGCGAGCCAGCAGAGTTCACGTTTACCTTTATAACCGGTAAATGTCACCATTATCGCTCATTCAAAGAGCTCTACACGCAGCCGGATACATCATGTTGAACTGTTATTTTAGGTGTGATGACTACATTTTGTTTCTCCCTTTTTGTTTTCCCCCAGACAATGGAAATTGGAACATTTATGCTACAAATCAGGAGAACTAGTCACGGAAACACATTATATGGATCAGGTAAATGGGGAAATATGGTTGCTTCTTCTCCCGAGTAACATGGATGCCATTCTGCTCAATTAAGAGCAGACTTGAGTTATAAAAATTGCGCCTTTACAAAGATAGTAATGCTCAATCGTGACTAAATCTTTCCAAGAGGTGTTCTTTTCACATTACGAAAGGTGAATAAAGAGTCAACAAACCAGACTTAATGACCCTTAATTGAAGATGACCCTAATGTGTGCACGTGTTTGTGTGTGTGATCAGATCATAGAAAAGCTTCATCCCTGTCTCATCATCACACCTCTGGACTGTTTCTGGGAGGGAGCCAAGCTCCAGTCCGGGATGGTCTACCTACCGTAAGTATTCTCCACATTCTTTTCACTTGGATCTGATCGTTAGACTGCTTCATGCAATTTTTAGTCAGTTGCCTCGCTTTGAAACTGGCCAAGCGGATTGAGACTTCGTTGTGCACAAAATATATCCTTGTTTCCACCGAGTTATGCGGTTTGGTTCGCTTTGATATGGTACCTATAATTCTCATTGTCACGTATTTAAGGGAATTCCGTACTGCTTGCATAGGGATGTCAATCTCGGAGAGAACCACTTTTCCTGCCAATGTTGGGTTGAAAGCAATAGCCGCTGTCCAACATACCATACCTTAAACATTTCAAACAAGATGCTAAGATGGTGGAATTCCGTGACGCTATGTAAAAGCATACACACTTGCTGCAATATCCCGCCTTTGCCGTGTTCTGTGTGAAAGGCTCATATGGGTAAAGGTGGTGCCTTCTGTTCCGGATCTCATACAGCAATGCAATCCTATGTCATCTTTTTGAACCACTATATTGTGAGTGAGAGGATCCTTCTGACCTTTGTTTTATAAATGCTGTCAGCACGCAGCATTTATTGATGCATTCTACCGTGTCGCACCGCAATGATGTCACATGAAAGCGACCGGCAATCCATCCTAGGTGTAGTCTACCTTTAGCTCGGAATCAGCTGGCATCACCACCCATCTTGGAATTGTTGCCATGGCAGCACGATACTGTTACAGTGAGTCTGTTTACAAAACAGCGAGGAGATGTGGATCTCTGAATCTTGTTTTTCTGTCTTTTATGTGTGCTTCCCAGGCACACTCAACACAACTATCAGACTCCAACAGAGTGCTTGTGTGTGTGTGTGTGTGTGTGTGTGTGTGTGTGTGTGTGTGTGTGTGTGTGTGTGTCCTGAATTCGTCCCAACTGAAGGCTCTATTGTAGTGGTTGTTGGCATGCGTATCGCTGGCCATCGCTTCTCTTCAGCCCTGGGCCTCACATCATTGTCTGGCCTTTCTGTTGCTAATGGCCTGCTGCAACAGTAATACTTTTCCGCAGCATATTTGCGTTTGCATGCACGTGTGTGTTTGTCTGCGTGTGCGTGTGCGTGCGTGTGTGTGTGTGCGTGTGCGTGTGCGTGTGTCTGTGGCTCAAATTGAGTCAGCTTAAGTAGGAGTTGCCTATCGATTGTACGCGCGCAATGCTTCAGTTCGTTCTTTCAGTGCGAAGCGGTAGATGAAGTTTTTACCATGTTCTGGTTGGGAGGCTGGGAATAATAACCCAAGCCTGGTTAAGCACATACAATGTGCTCTGAATGACAGAGACAGAGAAAGAATGAGATTTAGGCTGGAATGTGCGAGGCATGGAGAGCTTAGAAGGAACAAGGAGCGCTTGGATCAGGAATCCGACCCTGGCACTGAAAGTTCCTCTTTGCTGTCACTTTGCAAGGGTTGAAATAAAAGAAAACTTGCTATTATTCTTTGACATAAACACATCGTGAAACAGTTCTCCTGCTCGCTTTTATATTTTGGGCTTATTGAAGACACGACTGATGAAATGTCTCAGTCAAGCCTTCTCACAAGCGTCTGCAAAAGCTATATGCATATTGATCAAGCAATCCAGTACTTTATTATTGGCGGCCTTTCCTCCTAATATTGGCTGGTCTGTATTCAAGTCCTTGTGGTGAATGCGTTACTTGCGAAGCCGTAGCGTTTGCAGAAATTCATGTTGCTTCCATACACATTGGCCGCTGTCGGTGCAATGTTTGTACTGTAAGGAACACCGGGAAACACCCAAGGCCACCATGTTATCGCTCACGTTTTTCTGCAAGAAAGATCAAATTGAACAAAGCAAATGGACAGAATGCAGTATACGAGGTCCGCAGACTAATATGACAACTGCTGTCCGATTCCATCCATTTTGCCGAGTACATATTCCCAAAAGAGTGGCAGGTAGGGCTGCCAAGATTAGTCAACTACTCACGACTACGTTTAAATTCTTTGGCAATTAAATTAATAGGAGTAATTGATTTATAACGTTATTTATGTGGTGATTTGTTTTTCTCTCAAAACCACTTGATCTTCCACGACTCTTACTGGCCTGTCTGTGAGGCACATACGCAGTAGTGTTAATTGGAATCATCCGTGATGTAAACGGGAAGCATTCTGATTAAAACAGTGTCATGGTTAACCGGCGAGAGAGTCCGAAAGTTACGGCGCCTTTCACCAAAAGTACTTATTAAGACGCAAACCTGCCTTTCAGGGCAGCACGACGAGGATGCTCTCCATCTAAAAAGGAAGCGCCTCATTTCAAGTGCCAGATTTCATTTCTGAAATGGGGACAGTCGTGTCTGACAGCTAGAATTATCTATCACACACAGCTTATCGTGTGTGTTTGAGCTAACGTTGCAACATAATGTCTTGTTTGATACGCTAACATATTGTAGTGTCTACTCTGGATTACAGAGGCATTGGTCAGTGAGCTCCCATTTATTAATAACCCAAACACATGCTACTGTATGTATGCCCGCAGTTGGCATCGAAACTGGAACAGCACACGCAACGGCTCACGGTCTCTCTCCATTCCCACACTCACGAACATGAACAGAGTTGCATTCATGAACTTGTAAACTGCAGCGCTCAAAGTAACTGAATATGACATATTTGCCACAAGCTTGGAACAGCAACACGTCGCAATAAAACTCATTACAATATCTTAATTTGCAGTGCTAAAGAAATATGTTCTTCCTAAACTTTGAGGATTCTTTTTTTTCTTTGTTTCAGGTGCATCGCTAATTTGGATTTTGTACATCAATTTACTACTTTTAACTGTATGCATCATAGTCAAGCCAAACAAAAACGTTTTGGATAAAGGTCAATGCAACTTTTTATTTTAGTTTCATATAAGTACAGTGCATTTTCCCTAATTCTTCTCTTCGCGACCTTCTATAAATTCATTACATTAAATAAAATAAAAAAATTGTTTTTTTTTGCGTGCAATTTGGCTTTGCAGGAGGGCCAAGCTCTGCTCTGCTTTGCTAATTCACCTTACAGTTTACAATATATGCAAATTTTCTCAAGACCCTTATTGAATTCACCGTACAGACTTGGCATGATAAATATTCAATCAACGCATGGAAACATGACGTGTCCATCCATTTTCCATAGCGTTTGTGCCCAAGGGTTCTTGGTTGCTGGGTACCATTACAAAAATGTACCTTGAATACAAACCAGTTTGATTGAAGATTAGAATTAAGTACAGAAGAATGCCTTTACACGTATCTGCATCGCCATCCTTTTTTTTTTACACAGAGGTAAAGACCCATTGCAGTGGACCAATTTTGACCCAAAGGACTTCCTGGAGGACTTGCGCCGGGCACACTTCCCTGTGGACAGTTTTGAGGACATGTTGGAAAAGGCAGACGTCGGCCACGGCTATATGGACCGACCCTGCCTGAACCCTTCCGACCCCGACTGCCCCCTCACCGCCCCCAACAAGAACTCCACCAAGGTATGTGCTCTCTGTATATTTTTTGGGCTCGATGTCAGATTTTTGAGAGTAGATGTTGACAGTTTATTTTCACGTCTTGTATTGCTTTTGTTGCGCCAAAAGCCATTAGATGTGGCATGGACCCTGAGCGGTGGCTGCTACGGCCTGTCCAGGAAATACATGCACTGGCAGGAGGAGCTGATTGTAGGCGGGACCACCAAGAACGGCAGCGGACCCCTGCTCAGGTAACACATTCAACAAGATTTGCGCCTTGCTTATTCTGGAAGGAGTGTGTGTTTTCTGTTCTCTTTTTTTTTTTTTGTTTAATGTATTCTAAAAGCATGTGTGTGTTCTCGTGCGCGAATGCATGTGTGTGTGCATGCACGCTGTAAATCTTGCAGTCATTAGGAGATTCCACTGAAGTCTTCCAGTTCCAGCTGTTCCCTTTCAGCACAGACTACTATGCAAAGACACACACACACACACACACACACACACACACACACACACACGCGCGCGCGCACACATTCTGTACATACATACAGTACATGTGTTCACGGTGATCTATGGCCTAGCCAGTTTATCCAAATACCACATTTTTAGCTACACAGACCTAATTCCAAAGCAAGCAGCCAGACAAATCCTTTGGGTCATTTGGAGGACACCTGCTTTATCTTCACAAGTGTCTTGTTTGCGCTAAGCTTGTCAATGAATGGTCAATAAGCATGCATAAAACCTAGTGCATTAAAGTAGTGTAGTAAGCTACAAGAGGATGGCATTTTTAGGGATATGGCACTTTTATTCTTTGATTTGTGAAGAGTGACTGTTCTGTTTGCTGCATCCTTACACCAAAGAGACAAAAACAAGGCTCATCAAGGCATGCTCGGAAAAGTTTGTTGTGGAAGCACTCCTTTGAGATGAATGGCCAGGTGTCCCGGTACTTTTGTCCATATCGCGTCCGTTTGCTTTTCTTTCTCTTTCCAAAAAAAAAAAAAAATGCTCCTTGTTGTGTTCTTCCTCCATAAATATGACCGTCTCTTCTCCTTCCAGCGCTCAGGCTTTGCAGACCATGTTCCAGCTGATGACTCCCAAGCAGATGTTTGAGCACTTCAGGGGCTACGAGGAGGTTTCCCACATCAACTGGAATGAGGAAAAGGCCGCGGCCATACAGCCCTCCTTTGGGATGAATGGCCAGGTGTCCCGGTACTTTTTTCCCTATCGCGTCCCTTTTCTTTTTTTTTTCTTTTCCAAAAAAAAAAAAAAAATGCTCCTTGTTGTGTTCTTCCTCCATAAATATGACCGTCTCTTCTCCTTCCAGCGCTCAGGCTTTGCAGACCATGTTCCAGCTGATGACTCCCAAGCAGATGTTTGAGCACTTCAGGGGCTACGAGGAGGTTTCCCACATCAACTGGAATGAGGAAAAGGCCGCGGCCATACTGGAGGCCTGGCAGAGGAGATATTCCGAGGTAGGCAAGCTAGACAAGGGAATAGTAATCTCTTGTAAATCCTCAACAATGCTATTGTAAATCACTAACAGGATAACATGTGAACATGCATGCAAAGAGCCCCTGATGGATGATAGGCCGCCTGATGGCATCTGGTAGAGGGTCAGAGTGGGTAGAACGTATAGCATAGCAGTAAGCTCGGCATGTCTGGAATACATTAGGAACATTTGGATCTCACATCAAATCACTTTCCCAGCTGTGGCCCCATTGGTGGCTCGCGTGTGACATCATCCCACCCGCGCCCCCACCTCACACCAAAGCCCTGTTTGACAAGCAGTGACCTCGATGCGTTCGTGTGTGTGCGCGTCATTCATCTTGGGGGCCTCGGGGTGCCGCCACAGAAAAAAAAAAATCATTTGTTCAACGGCTGTATATATTTTTTTAAATCAATGGTCGTAACACAAGCTGCCGGCGTCGTGCTGTGTTGCATGTGTGTTCAAATTTGCGCCGTTGGGCGTGACTGCGAGAAATGCACACGTGTGTAGGTGTGCGAGGGAATCTGTGTGAGAATGTGTGTCAGCCAGCCATGCTCCCCGATGAGCAGTAACTGCGGGTCAATGTTGAAGACATCTGTCTGCACGCAGATAAGAAGACAGGGAAAAGGTGGATCATGGTACTGTCTTACAAAAACAAGTTGATAATGGATACACAGCCATGATTACCTCCCCCAAGGAGTTTAGGTTTTCTGCTATGTGTGTCTTTCACTGATTTGCTTATTTTTGTGGGCAGCTTTCTGGAGTTTTTCGACACACCTCGGTTAGTGGCCTGGGGAGTTTATTTACTCAAGGGGAGAAAGCACCAGGCTTTATTTGAAGTGAGGCTTCTATTTGAGCACAGGTCTTTTTTAACTTAGAATGTGTGGAGTGTGTTCATGGGCAGTCTCTAGTTACGTTCCTAAAAATAATAAAATAATAACAGGGAACTAATTGTTGCAGGGCACAAAGGTGGATAAGTGGTCAGCACATCTGCCGCACAATTCTCAGGTTGGCTGTTTGGATCCGGACTATGGCCTTCCTTCCCATGCTGTCCGTGTGCTAACACGAGCTTAGTCCCACAATCGAAAAACATGCCCGTTCGGCTTAGTGAGGTCTCTAAAGTGTCCTTGGGTGAGATTGGGATTGTGAGTGTGAAAGGTTGTCTGTCTGTTTGTGCCTTGCTGTTGGCTGGTGAGCAATCCAGTGTGTTTTAAAGTAAGCTTAGAAAGGCTCCTTCTCACTCGGAGCTTGAAGGAGGATAAGGGGTGCACAAATACAACAGGGGAACCGGGAATATAATTTTACTGCTAAAATGATTTTGGGGGCTTTTTTTTTTTTTTTTTGCTTTTCAAATGTACTGAATTGACAACACAATTTGACAATGACCAAAAAGTAAACCTCATAAAAATCGGTTAAACATGAGTAATTTACAATGTATTTGTTCATTTCAATGTCCATGCATTACATTTAATGGGAACATAGACCTCCCCAAGATGGCCGCCACGTAGGTACGTCTGTTAGCCGGCTGCAACAATGCGCTGGGGTATCTAGTCGCCCATATCTATGGGGCAAACTCTGGACTGGTCACTGGCCAATTGCAGGGCATATATCGACAAACAACTATTCACATTCACATCGACGGACAATTTAGAGTCCTTCATTGAACTCTGGACAGAATTCAGACGGAGTTTCTGCGATCCCAGTTGCAGTGTATTACAAGTCAGATTTGTTATCTTTGTTGCATTATATCCAAATAAACATCAGTAATTCCAAGCTAAGTTCCAGATCTTTTTCTTGAATTTTATTTCAGGCTGTGTTGCAGAGCGTGGCAGCCAACTCATCCCAGAAGGTCTTGTCTTTCACCACCACCACCCTGGAGGACATTCTCAAGTCTTTCTCGGACATAAGCGTCATCCGCGTGGCCAGCGGCTACTTGCTGATGGTAGAGGACGCGGCCATTCGTCCATATCCTAACAAGAGTATTGTATTCCCTCGTGCGTCATCTTCATCATCCGTCCCCAGCTGGCCTACGCGTGTCTGACCATGCTGCGGTGGGACTGCGCCAAATCTCAGGGGGCCGTTGGGTTGGCGGGCGTCCTACTGGTGACGCTGTCAGTGGCGGCGGGACTTGGCCTCTGCTCTCTACTGGGCATTACCTTCAATGCTGCCACCACACAGGTAATTTGACCACTGGAGATGAAGAGTGCGCACATTTTTATGCTCATTTGACTTTTAAAAAGGGACTGGTAAGGCCAGTCATTCAGAGATTAAAAGAAAACATAAAATAGTTCATTTAAAAAAATAACATAACCATCTTTCTGTTTTATGAATTGTTTTATTTATTATGAATGAGAATTAACTATTTTCATAAAAGTAATGTTAGAATGCAGTATTTTATTTTATTACAATAAATCTTTGAAGACATAATTGAATAAGTGAGGAAAAAAATTCAAAATCAATTCAATTAGATCATTTGTTCTACTTTAACATGAATTGTTTTTGGGGTGCAGGTGCTACCGTTTCTGGCTTTGGGTGTCGGCGTGGATGACATCTTCCTCCTCGCTCACGCCTTCAGTGAGACGGGACAGAACAAGAGGATCCCATTTGAGGTGAGTCGAAAACATCCAGACAATCCTCGCTTTTGTACACCCCAAATAGTTTGCAGTGCCTATTAAGGAAAAAAAAAAGCAATTTGTCCGCCATTGTGCTCTGTAATCCTACCATTCTCTTTGATATGGAATGGTCAATGATATTAAGGCTTTTATATTAGAATGGTATTCTGCTGATTTCTTCGGACTCATATTAAACATTGTCGGGATGGCTGTTGGGACACAATAATGGCAATTTCCCATTTTGCTGGGTTCTGTGTAAAAGGCAAAGAGGAAGAAGTGGCACTTCCTGTTACAGCTCTAATTTGCGGTAATATCAGAGGCAATGTGAAAGGGAACAATTTATGAACTCACAATTGTATGAAGTACGAAAAGCAGAAAGTGCAAGCCAACTTCTACACGCTAGCTAGCTATATTAGCCAGCATGGCTCAGTGGTAGAGTGGGTGTCTCCCAGCCCAGCGGTTCCAGTTTCGATCCCTGGCGAAGGTGTCCTTGAGCAAGAAATTGAACCTTCTGATGCTGCGGGACATTAGCTTTAGTTTGCTAGACTCACTTAATATTCTTCAATCGTACGGGAAGTATTTTATTTCTGTCCTTTATGAAGTAACGTTGCTCATGTTGGCCTCAGTTTGATGCTATCTTGATTGCGTTAGCATTTAAATGGAAACCGATAATGCTCACAAGAAGTAGAGCCATGACTCCTCTGCTACTATCGCATCGTGCTCTGAACATACAAAAAAAAATCATGCTAATTTAAAGGAACTGTCTTCTCTTTTTCACAAATGCAGATTTGTAAAATCTCAAGTTTACAGTTTGCACGGCATCAGATTGACTTGTCAGTGGAACATTTTTATGGATTCTGCAACAAAGTGTGTGGATGCGTGTGTTTTTGTGTGAGAATTTAATCTCCTGTAGGGGAAAACAGGCATGCGTTTGCTTGTTATTGTTGTCTCCTGCTCTCCCTCAACCTCCAGCTTCCTTTGAGGAGATGAAAACTAAACAGAGCTGAACCTGATCTTGCCTGTCTCTCACTCGCTCTCACACACACACACACACACACACACACACACACACACACACACACACACACACACACACACACACACACACAGACTTGCACAAACATGCCTGCATGGAGACGCTCCCTGTGTGGTCCCGCACGTCGTCAAGTCTTCACACAGTTGCCGCCAAACCTTCCCGATGTTTATCCGTGTGTATTTTAAGAGGGAGTAATTAATGAAAAACAAATGTTCAAAGTTGCCCAGCAATCATCATTTTCTCTTTGAGAGATACTGTAGCAGCTCGTTATGTTCTCCCTCTTTTGTATAACCTAATAGCACTTGAGCTGACTGCAATCACTGTCAATCAACATCAGTGCGATGATAGTGCTCCTCCTTCTCAAGTATTTACACACATTTGCCCGTGGCTACGGTTGCATTAATAAAGTATTAAGTCATTTCTTTGTCTCGTCTGGCTCAGGACCGCACTGGCGAATGTCTAAAGAGGACCGGAGCCAGCGTGGCGCTAACTTCCATCAGCAACGTCACCGCCTTCTTTATGGCCGCCCTCATTCCCATCCCCGCGCTACGGGCGTTCTCATTACAGGTTTGTACAGTTATCATTTTTTTTTCCCCACGGGAAATAATGTAAAGAAGAATTTGTGTGTTTCAGGCAAGAAAAAAAATTGCTTTTCGTAACATTTAACTGTTTGTAACTGCCATGTAAGTGTAAAAAGGTCAATACGATGGAGGAAAACTAACCAACTTGTGAAGACATTCTTGAGAGGGAAAAATAAGTTTCTTGCAGTCATGCAGTCACCTAATGACACTGACAGGTATTGCTGTAATTTGTAAGTGTTGTTTTGTGTATCGGTGTACATGTTTGCATTTGGTTGGTAAAATGACTTTGTGTATGTAATTGCATTGATCATATTTTACTGAGCAGTCAGACACTTTGCTGTGTCAGACTAAGTTCCATTTCCTCTTCGATGGCCAGAAAAAAAGCACGTGTGGAGTCAATGCTTTAATATTTCACTGATCTCTCAAGATGGTTCTGATAGTTCTCACTCCAGGTTTTGTTTGACTATTGAGGCGTAGTTTTCTAGAACATTTTCGTTGGTCTAGTCGAAACCAGGGCCACAGGCGCTCTTACTGAAAGGACCTTTGAAGAGAAATGTGGAACAGCTCCATCCTTGGATTACAAGCCCAATCTTAGGTTCAAAAGAGCAACATCTCCATGATTGCCACCACGGCTGATTAAACCTTGAGTAAGGCTCTGCTGAATTTTGGAGGCAGCAACATCAATTTAAATATTAATACGTTGATATGCAGAAAAACGTTTCATTAGCATTTTGCCAAGGGGAGAAAGATTGCTCTATTTCTGACTGCCAGAGGTAAAAACATGTACAAAAATCCATGACTTCACTTTAGGAACTGGTAAGAATTCAGTATTCTTGTATTCATGTATTTGAAGTTAAAACAGACGGTATTGCTGTCTTTTTTTCATGTAGCATCGTAAATGGTGATCTCTCTGCCTAAGCTTATTGCCCCTGCAACGCACACACATGCACGCAGAGGCCAGATTTCACCAGCGTGAGTATTAGCATGTGTGGATGGATGGCGTGACTACAGCCACTCTGTCAAATATGATCCGTTTCCCCCACTGGTATGATCCGGGCTGCTTCATTGTCGGCTCACACTTGCGTTCATCAGCACACAGCGAATGCACATAGCATCCATTCATTCTTATGTACACTTCCTCTTGAGTGCTAATGTGCTTCCAGTGTTGGGGAGCACATGCTTCTGCCAGTGCAGCATTCAATCAGATCGCCCTTGCACTCTTTCCCACCCCACGGGACATACTTGGCTCGACATGGCTCTGCTCGCTTTTGGCACTTTTCCGCCGATGAAATCAGCCTGGGTTCCAATGTAAACCAACTGTGTTTTTAAGGACAAGGCTAGAAATGACAAACAAGAAACACACAGGCTAACATTAGCATTTCCAGCACAGGAGACCCTTGTTCTTCTTCATTTGTGTTGTTGTTTGTTGTTTGTTTCTTTTTCCGACATGCGTTCAATGCACTGTGCTTTTTTTTCTGCACACTGTTGCTATATTACTATATTTGGAAAACAGACCAATTTATTATGGACTACAATGCAATGGGTAAGAAGCATATGTGGACAAAGGTATGGAGGCACACCCCCTTAAAAAACTTCTAACCTGATTGATGTTCATCTGGATGGATGGACAAAAAAAATCCCCATAGACACATTCTGACATCTGGAGGAAAAAAAAGGCTCCCCGATAGGGTGAATCCATGTTCCACGCGTCCCAATATTTTTGTCCAGGGAGTGTGTATCTCTCTCAGCAAGAAGCACTTCCTGCTTCCTGTCTTCATTAGCTTCCCTCCCCGTGTCACTAAAGGGCAGGGAATTGTGTCCAGATAACGGCACAAAGACGCACAGTGGAACACACACGTTCATGTGTGGAAGACAGATGTGATGGTAAATCTTCCCACTCGGAGGTCACTGAGCGGTCACCGTAAGAGAGAGAGAGAGTGTGTGTGTGTGTGTGTGTGTGTGTGTGTGTGTGTGTGTGTGTGTGTGTGTGTGTGTGTGTGTGTGTGTGTGTGTTTGGAGTCATTGGGGATCAGTCTGGAAATCAGTGGGCCAATTGAGAATGAATTGTTTTTGCACGCTGTCTCTTGTTGTCTCTCACATTACTCCTGACTGCATAGTGAGCTGAGGAATGAGGGGGAGGGCACAGATGTGTGCGTGTGTGCGTGTGTGTGTGTGTCTTCAGAAGCAGCTTGTAGTATAGTTTCTTTTTATTTTAAACTATGTATATGTGCATATTTTGGTGTGTAAGAGTTGTCTTCCTTTCACCTCAAGGCTCTTGACTTCTTGGGTGGTCTCACACGCGCACACACATGCTCACACAGAATTGTGTGTGCCTATCAGGGTGTGTTTGTGTGTCTGTGTGTAGCGGTCTGGCAGCCACACGAGTCCCATATCACGCTCCGGGCAGCGCCCTAGTCAAATTCAACCCCTCCCCATCATTATCATGATCCTCCTTGAGCTCAGTGCGCCACCTTCACAAGTTCAACCACAAGACTGCACCTACTTGTCTGACACACAAACCTCATACATTTTTTTGTGCATATTCACGTGTTTCAGGAACATCGAATGGCAATTTGCTCCCCTTGACACATGCAGACTTATTGTTATTCTAAAGCTAAATTCTACTCTTCTTCTCTTTTAAAATGTGATATAAATACAAGAAATCACATTGTTGTTCAATTGTACAATGTCATTTTCACCAACATTCTGTGCCATCAGAAGATTAACAAATCATCTTTCCTGAATGAAATACTTATGAACCTTTTTCTACTTTTTTCACCAGTGAAAGATTTGATTTGGTCGTCGTCTTCACTTTTTCATGTAAAATGTTTCTTGATGATAATTTTCAATTTTTATTTTATTTGTACACACGCATGAATTTCATATAACATAAAATTAATTGATTATTAGTCTTGTTCTAGTTATAGCAAATTTGTAGCTCTAAAAAAATTATATTATGTTTTATAATTATTCAACGTAATGTTACATTAACTGTTAATCAGTCAATCAAAGATGAAGGCAAATATTAATAGCAAAGTCGTACAATTAAAATATACGGGATAAAATAGAGTATGCTCATATATTTTCTTCAATCATTAAGGACACGTTAAAAAAAAAAAATCTAATGTAATGTCTATTGTTGTGGTTATAGTTCGTAGTGACATCATAGTGAGAGCTCTTCCGAATATTTTGAACTTCTCATGTGTTTGAATAAGGTAACAAAAATGTATAGTATTATTGTTACACTGTCTCAAATACAATAAACATGGTGACCCAAACAAGATGACAGTCAGGAGCATATGTTCAATGAATCACAAATTTCTTGCTCTACTAAAGTGACTTTTCATGTAGGCTAACGTAAATGTTTGTGTGTTTCCGCCAGGCTGCAGTGGTGGTGGTGTTTAACTTTGCGATGGTCCTGCTCATCTTCCCCGCCATCCTCAGCATGGACCTGTACCGACGAGAAGACAGACGCTTTGACATTTTCTGCTGCTTCTACAGGTGTGGACGCGCTCACACAAACTAGTTTGTGATCTGACAGTGACCATGTCGGACACACACGCAGCCTTTTTACTCGAATGACTTCTCAAGTTGTCGAATGCTGTCTGATGGCCTGCTTCTATTTGTTGTTTGTCTGCCTTGGCCTTTTGTTGTGAAACCCTCGCCAGTCTCCTGCCAGTCTGGGCATGCTTTTTGGCAGAGTGATCGCACAGATGTGCACAGTACACGCACACAAAGTTAAATCCTACTTGGCTCAGCTCCTCATTTCCCGGAAAACACAGCATTAGGTACACCTGCGTAATCGAATGAGAGCCGAGTCAAGAGCTGGATCAAAAAGATGAAGTAATACAGCAAAACCTCCCAGGTGGAACACAATCCATTCCGGGAAGTTGTTCCAATTTGTTTGTATTTCAAAACACTTCTTCCCACAAGCAATACTTGAAATTGCTGATAATATCGAATTATTACCTCGCTTACTGAGACTGCCTCCAAAGCCCGAGAGTCAACTTCAATCCCCTAGTCACTGTCCGTGCCAGTTGTGCAGAACAGCAATATGAGAAAAAAATGGAGAAAAATGATTAAAGGAGCTTCTGATGCGATCCCAGAATGTGTCACATTTGTGGGTTGACTTTGTCACCCAATGTCACAGTGCCATTCAGACAGAACAGCAACACAGGAAAATAGCTGGAAAGTATGGCTGCTTTTACAGACAGCATGAAAGGGGCTTCTGAGATTGCTGCCGAAGTCTTTAAAAGGACATGCTTAACTTTATCCCCCACTTCCATGTTGCTACCATTTATACAGAAAACTTGGTAAAAAGGTAAAAAAATTGCAACTTTTACAGGTAGAAAAAAAGGGCCTTCTGTTCCTACCTTTGAAGACGGAAAATTGGTGGCTCTACTTTGTTCCAAACTTCAATGCCATTTATAAATAGAGAAAAAGGAGGGGAAAAATGTCTGCTTTTACATACAGTATGATAGGGGCTTCTGATATTATCTCAGAAGGTGTTAAATCGCCTAGTTACCATTACCCCTCCATTCCGTGTCGTTGACAACAATACAGAACAGTGACAGGCAGAAAACATGCAAAGAGAGAAACATTTTACAAGTACGTAGTCTAAAATGGACTGTCGATACCACACAGGAATGTGATAAATTGCTGTTTCTCCAAATTCTGGGTCGTTGCCATGAATATGACATAGAAAGAAAAAAATGTTTAAAACCTTTACAAGTCGTATGAAAAGTGACTAGTGATATTATCTCCAAGGCTGGAGATGATATTGTCTTACTTCATGCTCCCACTCCACGTCTGTTTCGTTTATACAACACAGCAACGTGGGGGGGAAAAAATGCATACAAATATGAGCTTTTACAGGGTCTTGTGTCCTAACGTGTCTGTCTTTGCAGCCCATGTGCGAACCGCGTGATCCAGATGGAGCCTCAGGTGTACCTGGATGGATCAGACGGGAGTCGCTACGGCTCTCCGCCATCCTACCGCACGGGGCTCCCCTCGTACCACACGCCTCCGCCAAGCTACAGCCCGCCGCCCTCCTACAGCAGCCACAGCTTTGCCCAGCAGACACAGATCACCATGCAGTCCACGGTGCAGCTCCGGACCGAGTACGACCCGCGCACGCAGGCTTTCTACACCACGGCCGAACCCCGGTCTCAGATCTCCGTGCAACCCATCAACCCGCCCCCAGGCCGGAGCAACCCTCACAACGACTATTACACCAATAACAATAACAACAGCGGGAGGCGGAGTCACCGGACAGCTCGATATCGTCACTCCGGGGCTCCGGCTACTACTTCAGGCTCAGGCCCTCAGCAGGATTCTGCCGAGGGAAGCAGCCAGGGCCCGGAGAATAACAACTCCACACGGGACTTGCTCTCCCAGTTTGGGGAGGCCTCGCTCGGCGTGAGGTGCATGGAGCCTCCCTGCACCCGTTGGACACTGGCTTCTTTCGCCGAGAAGCACTACGCTCCGTTTCTGCTGCAGTCCACCACCAAGGTGAGCGGAGCAGAGTGGCTTCTGTGCAAGTGTGTGGGAGTTTGAACGAGGAGGGTTAGTCACCCGAGCTCATGACAGAGTAGGAGGAAATCTGGAGTCATGTCCTATCTGAATCACACACAGTCTGACCTCAGTCTCGTGGGTGGCCGGCCCTCTCAAAACACTCGCACAACTCAAATCATCTGGTGGCCTGTACTTGACTTCATTACAGAATCTTTTCTTTGTCTTTTCATCGTGCTGTCAAATATTTCTCTCCTTTAGCAAATTATTTCATGCGCAGTCTTCCCCTTGCTGCCAAACGACTAAAAGGAACATTCCAGTTTATTCCATCTGCGCTCTTTGATCCGCGATTATTAGCCAAATCTGGCAACACATGGTCAGATGATCACAGGCTTTGTATACAAGATTATACAAGCCCCTTTTAGAAGGGGATGAAACCGCAAGTGAATGTTGCTGCAAGTACAAGAAAGTGCTTTGCCCAGAAAATGTGCGGTAACGCGTCTTCCCACCAGATTCCGCTTGACTTCCTCAAAGTCCAACAGTGTGAGATGTTGGCTTTTGATGTCCATTTGCGATTGCTCAAGACCTGCACTCCACTAAGTTTCAATTTAGTTTTGTCTGCTATAATCGTGGCAATACATAGCAAAGTCATAACAGCTTTCATCAATGCGGTGCTTGTGTGGCAATTGAGAAAACACCATACCAATAACATTATTTGTAATGCAGATGATAAAATTAAAATCAACACACAATAGAACCAGGGATTAAATGATTTGGGGGTTGCGGCCCCTCCGTGTTCTTCCTTTTGCAGGTGGTGGTGATCATGCTCTTCCTGGCCTTGCTGGGGGTCAGCCTGTACGGCACCACCCAGGTGCGGGACGGCCTGGAGCTGACCGACATTGTGCCGCGGGAGACCAGCGAGTATGACTTCATCGGCGCCCAGTTCAAATTCTTCTCCTTCTACAACATGTACGTGGTGACGCAGCGGGCCGACTATGCTCACAAACAGCCGCTGCTGCACGAGCTGCACCGCAGGTTCCGCAGCGTCCGCTACGTGCTGAAGGAGGACAATGGACAGCTGCCCCCCATGTGGCTTCACTACTTCAGGGACTGGCTGCAAGGTAATGTTGATATGACATGAAATGAGATTATAGCAATGAGAGTCCAATTTTCTTCAGTCATCTGGGATACGTCCCATAACGCCCGTCGTGAGGCGGCCCCGTCCTTTGGCATAAGTAGGACAAAGAAAAAGGCAGAGCTAATCCGCGAATACTCGCTGTACTGAGGTCGAGTGAGGTTTACTTGTTCAATACGGTGTCTCCCGACGAAAGCAATTCCTAAAATTCTGTTAAGTCATGTGCAACTGGGACATGCGCTCGCTGATTTTGTCCTGTGGACGTTAGACACATAATGTGTGTGTGTGGGTGTGTGCTCTGCTGTGCGCGAGCGTGCGCGTGCACGTGTAAACCACACAGAGAGAGCTGTGTGTGATATTGATGTGTGCAATGGTGGGACAAATTGGAGCCAGACAGGCCTGAGGAACGAGACCCAAAACAACATCTCCCGCAGTCGGCCCGCAGTGTGAGTGTTGGGAGAGCGCGGCGCAGGCACATATGGATGAAGAGAGGCGGCCACATGTTCTTGATATTTCCCCCTAATGGTCTCTATGAATAAAAAGCATAACATTTTCAGCTTTTTCCATAGTGGTTCATGGCCAGTTATCATATTAAATCAGATGATCTTGTTAGTCAGGGGTACAGTTTAAGTTTCTGGTGTTGAGTTTTGTGTGTTTGTGTCTGTGTGTGCGTGCGTGCAATCGCACAGGTCTGCAACAGGCATTCGACAAGGACTGGGAGACCGGCTGCATCACTCTGAACAGCTACAAGAACGGCTCTGACGACGGCATCTTGGCGTACAAGCTTCTAGTGCAGACGGGACGCAGAGACAAGCCCATCAACTTCAACCTGGTAAGCCTCATCCGTCATATGAGATGCGTCTGAACGTGTAGCAGCCATTTGATTGGGCCAAGAGGAACGACGCCCACCTTGCAAACTCGCCCTCCCCCCCGACCCCCTTTTACCCCCTCCTTGTCTGTCTTCCCTCATCGTCTCGCGCTTTGTGATGACTTTACCGAGCTGAGGAATTTAAAGCTCTCACTGGGACCCTCGGCCCGCCTTCTGAAAAACCTATTAACTCTTGCCGTGCGTTAGCGTGTGATGGATGAACGTGCGTGAGGGGTTCTGACAGCGGGATGTCTCCCCGTAGCATGCAGCCTGTCAGCTTAACACTTGGTCTGGGATTCCAAGGCCCAGCACAAAGAAGCTGTTGCGTGAAACTCCAACCAGATCTCATCTATGTGATCACTTTAATGTGCATTCTCCAGTTCGGAGTTGCAAATTGCTTCTTTTAAATCAAACTCAATACTGTATACAAAATAGACTTTTTATTGACTTGTATGCAAATAAATGGGTCTCCGGAGTGCCGCTATTCATCAAGTGAGAAATTAAGCAACCAAGTACATCTTTCATCTATTTGTGAAATTGTGTGTCAGAGCTAGCTGTTCTGCACTTGTAACAGTACGCCAAAATTAATTAATAACCTCTCCATTACCAACTTTATTCACATGTTGCATGATCATCGAGGTCGTGTGAAGATTGAGAGCCACTTTCAAGGGCCAGCCCAAACGCACCGAAATGCTATCGTGCAAAGGATCTATGATACGAAACACTCACATCCGCTACGGGTGTGACACCCATGCTTTCGTGTCAAAGCAAACGCTAAGCAAAACTGCATTCACTTTATTCAGATGGACGGACCAGTGTTAGCCTCTGATAAGCGGCACATAACTTGATTGCTTGATGAAAATGTCAATGCAGTGTATAGTGATAGACAGATTATCAGACGGGCTGATTATTCTGCATTTGGGCACATATTATCATATCGGCTGGTAAGCGATTAATTAAAAATTGTCTTTTTTTCTGTCATGTTCAGTTCTGGTTGAATACGAAATTTCTGCTTTTAATTACTGTAAAGTTTTCCTTTGTCTCAAATGCTGTCATGCAGAGGAACTAAAAAAAAAAGAAGAAGAAAAAGGAATACCTTCGTTTTTGTGTCTGGAACGGGTTAATTCAATTTCCATTCATTTCAATGGAAAATATTACCCTGACTTTTGAACATTTCAGATTACAAAACGGGATCACAGAACCAAGTTCGTATAACTTGAGGTTCCACTCTATTAGTGTCAGTGTTTAATTAGTGTACATTGGAGGATATGAACTGCCGCAGCCACGAGTAAAAATACTTCTTATCTTTATAACACTCTCCTTTTTAAGCAAACACAATGCCAAATCATGCATTCATTCACTTGTAAATGTGGAGTTCAGGATCAGTGGTTGGGCAAGTTTAAGACCATTCCTGTAATTACAACGGTACTATTAAGCAGTTTGTGTCTTTTCTGGAGAGGCTTCAGCATCGTTGGGGATCAGCGTCTGAGATGCTGCTGAGTTAATACCTCCACTCAAATAAGCTTATTTCCAGCGCGGAACTGGAGAGGAAATGACACCAGCTAAGTTCTCAGCGGGAGGTCAAGATAGCAACACAGACTGGGATTAACATCATGCCTCCTCTTTGGCAGCACCGAGATGCAAACTTTTGACAATGGCAGATAAAAGGAGGTGTTAATCCCATGTGGGTCTGTGACTTAGACCACTGTTCCTTACTCATTGGCACTGGACAAAAATGAACACATTTGCTAGCATTAGCGTATCCTATAGTTGGGTTTTGCTTCACAGTCTTCCCATTTTGTGCTTTAGTATCCTCTGAGATTAAAAATAAATAAATTGTTACCTAACCGAGATGTAATTACAGGAGAACCTTGACCCTCTCAATTGCTGTTTTGTTGGATTCCAACTCTTGCGTTCATGCTAGCGGTAGCTTACCCTCCTGTGGTGTTTTAGTTCCGGATGCTGCAACATTATCCAGATAGTACTCAGTGTCTTTTTATCTTCAGCAACCTTATTGTCCTCTCAGTTAAAGTGTCCTCCAAGCAAGAAGTGTGTACTTCTTGGTGAGACCCTCGTTTTCCTAAATTGTTGTTTGGTAACACACACAAACTGGTACGTTAAATGGCAGAATAGTTCAATCGAGTTTCTTGTGGTTCATGACGTGCATGTTGCGCAATATACTACTTTGTACATCCCTGTGACATCACTTCCTGAACTTATGTCCTATCCTGGACAACTTAAAGAAAGTTGTTGCATTTCCTGCTGTTCATCTCCACCAGACCCTCCGGAATCCCCCTCCCTTTCTCCTCACCGCGCGCACCTCTACTGCGTCCCCCTTTCAACCAGGAAGCCGAAGCACACGGTTCCCTTTCATGCCGCTCTGCGTGCGTTTGTTGTGCTTTGACTAAGAAGTGACTTATATCAGGAGCTCGATAAGTGCCAGGCATTGTGTGTCTGGGGTCAGGAGAAGCAAGCACAAGCAACATTTGTACAGATGTCCTGTTATTTTTATTGCTCTCCTCCATTTGCTGGGTGGCATTTCCTTCAGTGTTAACAACCAGGTTAACTACACACAGACGGGCTCAGGGACTCCAGCCAATTTTTTTTATTGTTACACTAACTCAAGCAATTTTTTTTCACTTCAAAAAAAAAAAAAAATCAACCTAAGTCCATTAGTACAGCTTCAACCCCCCAGACCTTTCACTTCCTCCCTAGAAGGAGGAATTTACGGCTGAGTGAAGGTAGAGTGGCAGAGCAATATATAGTAAAGCTTCTAACTCCAAATGCAAGTTTACACTCCTGTGCCTCCACATGGGAGGCCAGAAACAAGAGTCTTCACTTCACTATTGACGAAGTACAACTGGATCGGTATTAAAAAAAAAAAAAAAAAAAAAATCTACAGTATTGTAAGTCATCGACTTGACTAACTTCACATGAAAGCCTCTTTCAAATAGGTGTCTCCTTTTTCCTATCAGAAAAAAAAACAGGTAATTATCGTAATTGCATCAGTTCATGCACGCATAGTAAAAAGTTAGCTAATGAGTGCATTGTTTCGCAAAACAACAGAAACCGCCTTCCTTATCTCATAAACAGAGCATCAAGTGCATTCAAGTTCCCTGGGTTTGCGTTATGGTGAGATTATGTCTTTACTTGCAATTACTTTTCCAGGAAGCCATTGTTTTCCGACCTTGATAGGGCCAAACCACTTGTTTTACATTGTAAAATCTCATGCCATACCACCAAACGAAAATGTTTTACTCATAGAATCTGGGCCTCTATAGTTGAAGCCAAAGTTAATATTCTGTTGGGCTAATGACACCAGGTGAACACAAAGGTTAATTGCATCTTCTGCCATCTAGTGGAAGAGCATTTAATTTTTCAGCTTGTCAATACACGTCGCTGGCATTGATAGATGAACAAAAATACATAATTTGTTATCCATAAGTGATATGTTTTGGAAAAATTAGGTGATATACAGTAGTATGATACTGTGCCACAGTGTTGTGTGAGTCTTTTTTTCTCTGCCTTTCAGCATAAAGATCCTTTTTATTTTGTTTTAAATTGCAGCGCCGCTTGAAATAAATTGGAATAATGTATACTGTACTGGTAACATTGTTCAATATTATTCCAAAAATGCAGTGTGTAAAAATAAAGGCTACACTCCACCTACATTTGAAAAAATAACTGTCCCTGACCAATATGGGGTATTTCCATGCTTTAATGTGGCATGATAATTCTGGGAAGAGCTGAAGACGAGTACGGGAATTAAAAAAAAAAAAAATGAAACCAGTTAGGCGTCCCCCTCTCATCCGTTCAGTTGGAAAGAGAGATGAACTAATATTTGAGTCTGACTATGAACGCTTCACTCATCCTCTTTCCCTCATGCATGTGCTTAAATATGCATTTCTGTGGTCACACTCGCTCATAGAGTGTTTTCAGTTCGGCACGTCTTCTCGCTTCAATATTTTTTCATGTCCAAGTTACACTGGGATTTCCTATAAAACAACAATAGCATTGTTATAAAGTTCATGTCTGTCAAAAGATCAGAACGCAGGACTGAGTTGCTTCATCTGTTTTGCCAGCTGACACGTCACAGGCTTGTGGATGCCGACGGCATCATCAACCCCGGAGCCTTCTACATCTACCTGACAGCCTGGGTCAGCAACGACCCGGTGGCCTATGCTGCATCGCAGGCCAATATTCGCCCGCACCCTCCCGAGTGGCTCCACGACCGCACTGACTCCATGCCTGAGACGCGCCTCAGCAGTAAGTTAACATTCCTCATTGCCACAGAATATTACAGCAACAGCTTTCCATATTTCAGTCTCACTGGATAATCGTAATGACCATTTAACTGTGACAGGACAAAGGCCACAATTACGTACTATATATGAACTCTATACGAGGAAACACAATATTAGCCTTTTTCTTCACATTTTCTGCATGTGAGCAGTGTATACCTCTTGTGGTTAAGGGTTGACTGCCTCTCAGCCACGAGTGAGGTCGTAGTACCGTGCCACCGCGGTAGCGCGGGCTCAGGTTGCCGGGCCGAAGACCAAGACGCCGTTCGTTGCATTCATCTTAATGGTGCCTGCGGTGAATGCCGTAATGCATTCTCGAGCGGGGGGAGGGGTGGGCTCTCTGTCATTACATGTGCGTACATTATTAAAAGTTCCTTGACCCACACATGCACTGGAATTCGCTGGTGTTGGTGTTTGATTCCACCCTGTGATTTGAACTCAGGAAATTCTCCACGTGGGGGAGGACAGTGATTGGATAATGAGGGCGGGCTGCACAATTGGGTAACAAGCAGGAAGTTTTGGAGAAGAGACGATTTTAGAGTTGAGCTTATAATGGCCTCCTGTCTGACCTCAGCAGGCGCACATCCCTGCAGGAGAGTCAGTTAATATTCCTAAATTTATGCATTTCAGATTTTGATTTCACACAGTTCGATTAGGGTGTGGTAATGGCGCCGATTGTGACATGGCAATTACAGCGTTAGCTCTGACACTTGGGTGCGTTTGGAACTGATAGGCCCTCATTAGGCCGGCTGGCCCACTGACTAGCTGGCTTGGACTCAATGGAGCTCTGTTTCACACTGCCCCCCCCCCCCCAACACACACACACACAGGGATGTAGCTGCTCACCGACTTGATATTTGTGATTTGGCCAAGAGTAATCCAAAATTAGCGACTGTATTTTATTACTATTACTGCACAAATGCTGGAATACATTCCAACTCCAAAATGTTCAGCTCCTTCGTTGCTTGTTGGACAGTATTTTTAAACCCTTTCGAAATGTCTGGCTAAAAATGAATTTTACAAAATGCTATGGTTTTCGTAAACATATTTCTCACCAGCAATAATGGCAATCCAATTAATCCTTTCCAGACACCTAAAAATACAAATACATATTTACAGAGAATATCTATAGTTTTAGATCGACAAAATGGCGTCAAATTCTAAAGCGTTCATGAACACCACAACTCCCAGTCTGCTCGTGGCAATGCTGATGTGACATCCTGCCAAAAGACAGGCCTCCAAAATAAAAGCACGCCAGTATAATAACCGGTTCACCGCACTTTCTTTGGGCCTCATGGTTGCTTATTTAGGTCATCTTCAAATTATTTTGTGCTTATTTATTGAGTGCCACTGCTGATTAAGACACCATATGGCCAAACAAAGTGGCGTTTGAATGGATTTGTGTGTGGCCAAGTCACTCACTTAATTAATTATGATTTTTTTTTTCGTTTAAACTGAAAAATTCGTAAAAAAACAAATATGAAAACGATGGCATACACAAGTTCCAATGTGCAGCATTACCATGACTGTTGTTAGCATATTAGCATTTGAGCGATTCTCATGAGAAATCGTCCATCAATATTGGCCAAGATAAACACTTTTTTAGATTTTATGATCCTTACAGGCTATAATTTATTGTATCTCACTTAATTCTACAGCATTTCAGGTCAGAGAAAGCTCTTCAACATGCACCCTCCGATTTCTACAAAAATTGTACTCTTTGAGTAACGCTGTTTTGGCTTTTTCTCTTCTTTAGTCCCGGCGGCCGAGCCTATCGAATACGCACAGTTCCCCTTCTACCTCAACGGGCTCCGGGAGACACCGCAGTTTGTGGAGGCCATTGAGAGCGTGCGGGCCATTTGTGGCAACTACAGCCGCCAAGGCCTGCCCTCCTACCCCAACGGCTACCCCTTCCTCTTCTGGGAGCAGTACGTCAGTCTTCGCCACTGGCTCCTCCTCTCCATCAGTGTGGTGCTCGCCTGCACCTTCCTGGTTTGCGCCCTCTTCCTGCTCAACCCGTGGACTGCCGGCATCATTGTGAGTATGGCGCACACACCTCATGCTGGATAATAACTCATAATGGTGGCATCTAGAGATTACGTTGCAAGTTAATTTTCTACTCTCCACAAACCAGCAAAAGGGAATGCACTAATCCGTGGTAAGAAATGCCATCAACAAGGATTTATAAATTATTTATGTGGCAGAAAGTTATGCAGGTTTATAAAACGACGACCGAAAATCAACAGCATGGTAGCACCAAACTGAATGAATTTTTCAAATATGCAGAATTCCTTTCCCTCTATATTTTGGGCCTTTTTCTGTGTGGTCCAGAGGGCATCTCCAAGAGAAGAGTAGGAAGGGAAGATGCATCGACTGAATGTTATTGTAGGCCCAGTCACCAGTGTTTATCTTGTGCTCTTTAGTCCACTATGACAGTCCCAGACACTAAATAGATGAGGAAAGGACTTTTACAACTTGCAACTTTTAAACCTATTAAAAAAAAAAGTGATTTTATTTCCATCCACCCAACTCCTCCTCTCTTTCCTGTCCGTGGCAGTGTTTCCACGAAGACACGCACACACACGCAGGCGCGTGTGTACCTGAACGCATAAACATACCGGGACATAATTCACACACAAACACATACACACGCATTGCTCATTTTTTTATTTTTTTTTCCTCTGGCGGTGGGCTGTGTTTTATGGCATGCAGACCCGAGTCCTTGGACTGGGAAGGGAAAGGGAGGGCCTTCATGTTCATCCGTCCAGTTTTACTAGTGGCATCAAAGGGCAGGTTATGGGGTGGTGTCAGTTTCAACGACTCCTCATGAAACGAACCAAACTGATTGATAGTGAAGGTTTAGTTAACTATATAGATTATTGTACAAAACTATGTGTGTGTGTGTGTGTGTGTGTGTGTTTGTACAAAACTATGTGTGTGTGCGTGTGTGTGTGTGTGTGTGTGTGTGTGTGTGTGTGTGTCCATTTTCAAATTCGCTTATCCTCACGAGGGTCACATGCGTGCTGGAGCCTATACCAGCGGTCTTTGGGCAGTAGGCGGGGTCCTGGTTTGTTTACTACTGTAAGCTAATATTTGGATTCTAGGAAAATAAAAAGGATGTAATGGAGGCGTGCCTTCAATGAAACAGGCAGAGTTACTCTTTTAATAGAAATTTGTTCATGTGTAGAGTCTACTCTGGCACAGTCTTTTACACACACACACACACACACACACACACACACACACACACACACCCCCCCTACCCTCCATTGTACAATTTCTTCAAAGGATTTGGGCCCCATGTAACCTGACACCTGTCAACTGATAATGGCATTCAGTCCATGGTCATGTCCCTCTCTTCTCAGTGGCCTCCACGCAGACATTTCAAATAAATGTGCTGCTACTAACTGAAGCAGATCTGTAAGAGCCCACTGTGCTGTACAGCCATCTGTCTCTGCACTGCAACCACACAAGAAATTCTTAAAGTCCACATACATGTCCAGAATGTGTCAGCAAATCTTTCCAAGCTCATATTTTAACCGCGCTGCTGTGGCTTCCGTGTACTGCAGGTGTTGGTGCTGTCTCTCATGACAGTGGAGCTGTTTGGGTTCATGGGGCTGATGGGAATCAAGCTGAGCGCCGTTCCCGTGGTCATCCTCATCGCCTCGGTGGGCATCGGGGTGGAGTTTACTGTCCACGTGGCCTTGGTGCGCACTTCAATTCGACATTTGTGCATAGCTCTGAGCTTCGGCCAGCCGGGTACTCAAGAGTGAGAGATGACGTGTGTGTTTTTGTGTGTGTTGAAGGCCTTCTTGACGGCCATAGGGGACCGTCACAAGCGGGCAGTGCTGGCGCTGGAGCACATGTTTGCGCCGGTGCTCGACGGCGCCTTCTCAACGTTGCTGGGCGTTCTGATGCTCGCGGGCTCCGAGTTCGATTTCATCGTCAGGTGAGCGCACGTCAACGCTTATGGATACGGAATGTTGTAAGCTGATAGGATTGCCCCTATACGGAACGCTTTATCGGGGTCTGTGTGGCGTTAGCGGACCACTGAGACCATGCCTCAACCTGCATGTTGCCCTGGAATCTACCTGAGATGCCGGTCATGCATGTGGGCTCACTCCCCTCCTTTTTCTCCCCCCCCACTCTAATCCTCTTTCTTTTTCCAGCTACCTGAAGAGCACCATTTTCTAAAACCTATTGCTAGGGTCTCCCCAACTGTGCTTTCTTTATCCTTTGTCTTGGAAGGCAGCTCTCTCTTCACAACTTCTCAACCGTGATCTGACTTAAGTTTGTAGCTGTGCGTGTGATGAAGCCATACAGTCAGTGTGGTGTGAAAATATGTAAAACATCGCGCGTGTGAACAGCCTGGTTCACTGGTGTCATCAGTGTACAAGTTTCAACTCGAGACCCTGGTTCAAATCTAAATTGTGGCGACTAGTCATCAGAGTTCTGTGACAGACAGTGTCAGAAGTGGGATGGGGAGAAATGTGGCATGCACAGTATTGAAGGAGTTTTGGAAAAACATGGCTCTTTAGGGATGTGGTTACTGTCACCCGGTCGATTTTTTTTTTCTTCTTTTCCCTTTGTCTCTCTTGGGGTAGAAATCGAAATCTGATAAGGAGTCTTTTTTTCTTAATGTGATGTCTATTATTCCCTCCCTCAGTGCGCCATATGCAGTTCGGCAGATAGCAAACGTTTAATCAAAAAAAAAAAAAAAAAAGAAGCATCGTGCTTCAAGCTGTTTTGTGTCACTACCAGTTGAAAGACAGAAGCACATAACTTTGTATTACAGAAGCCCACTACCTTTATGCTAGATAGATACACTGTATGGCACAGTTACAATTGCCGTTTGAACACAGGTGATGCAGATACCGACAGGATATAACAATACTCACAGACGTGTATTATTTATGCTCTGCGCAAAACAACTCATATTTCTGTCACTGAGTTACAACAGTCTTTTTTTTTTGTATTTTATTTAATGCATTAAATTTGTGTGCTCTCTGCTGGTGAAGGCATGCACAGCAGAAGGAGCAGTACACTGTCCATTGAAATACAGCGAAATTGCAAACAAACCAAAAAAAAAACGTTTTCTACGTTTTATTCAATTATGTTATTAAAGTCTTAAGTCAAGGTACCACGACACTTTTCAGAACTGTGTGTCAAATTTGGCTGGTCAACTGTGTGTGAGTCACCCAAAAGATGGGTGAGACATTTGGATGAGGGGAACACACCTTTCAGCTTATGCACGATACCATTGCAGTCTATGTTGACAGGAGAAAAGCTTAGCTGTTCAACTCTGAGGTGATGGGCTTTGGTGTCTCCCATAACTGCCATGTTCGGAGAAAGGAACCCAGGGGACAGATGAAGAGTTGAAGGTCATGTGAAGTAAGGATGGAGGGAGTAAAGGGGGGATACAAAATGAAAAGATGACGGCGGGGAGTTTGTTGGAAGAGCAGGAAAGTTCTCTGGCTTTTGAAATCTCTTTCAGCGAGTTTTAACAACCCTCGCTAGACATTTATAAGCAAAGGGTGCTGAGGGGGGCGGCACCGGGCGGGAGGGGGGCAAAGAGCGCAGCTGTGGAAAGCCTGTAGAAGTGGAAATTAAAGCCGACGCACTGTGGGGGCTCTGTGTTGGTGGCTTGTTTTGCGTGTGTGCTCTTGTAAGCGGAGAGTCTGCAACGGCAGTGGCTTAACTGACGCCGAAGATGAGGCACAATTCTATACATTCGCACGGCCAGAGGGAGAAATTTCCATTGAGGTCAGAGAGTAATTTAACATTCACGTATGGTTGCGTGAAGCCGCAACACGGGCTGGCCATGTAATTTGCGCGGCCTGCTCCTTTAAGAAAAGCCAACGCAGAGGTCCATGTGACCTCCAAACACGCAAATTTCAGTCATGTGCACGCACGTCCACGCCGCCCTCCTCCCCCAACCTGCTCTCTGACCTTGTAATCATGAGGGTCAGCGATGGCGTGCCTGCCAGCCAGGACACACACACACACACACACACACACACACACACACACACACACACACACACACACACACACACACACACACACACACACACACACAGAGGCGAGGCCTCACGATCACTTCTCTCCTCACCTCCAGCGGCGTGCTCGGCTTTCTTGGGCCTCCATTTGGAAGGATCTGCTGTTATGTGAGCAAACAAAGCAGCGCCCCGAGACGGCGCAGTAACAACAAGGCCCCGCTCGTATTTTCTTGCTGGGAGTGTTTCCCTGACTTTCTCCCGTCAGCCCTGTGAATGTTTTCACTCTAAACAGCTCATGAGGGGCACTGTGTCCCGGTATGTGGGCCGCACATGGACACGAGTGTTCACGCGCGTGCACGTCCTCAAGGTGATGTAGCCTTTACCCCACATGGTGTGGACAATCATAATTGCCGTTTGGATTACAGCAGTCCCCCACATATTCAAGATCCACTTTTCGCGAATCTACCTATTGCAGTTTGTATTCCTCTGAAAACGATTCCCAGCTCTTCGCTCAAAATATCAGCTGTTATTTCAAAAACTCCAATCCACAGTTGTGTTCTTACTGAAAACATGCCAAAAATGGTGCAGAAGGTCTGTCTATGAGGACAGCAGTATATTGATGTCAAGGAACTGCATCGATGTGATATACTGAATGTTGACTAAGAGACAAACTTTATTTTTCTGGGAGGAGTTAAATGCAGCCTGGGTTGTGAGTGAAAGTTAGTCCTTCCTCCTCCACTAAATTGTTCTGGCTTCCAAATTCTATACCCCTCACTCCATTCACTTTCTTAAGAGAGGGAGGCCCCCTCATCGCCCTTCTTTTACCCAGTGCCTCCTCCCTTCACATTCCTCCTTGCTTTGTTTTCTCCATGTTTTGCTTACACACACACACACACACACACACACACACACACACACACACACACACACACACACACTCAAGAGCGAGTGCCCTTATACTCAGTCACCCCCGCAACCGCTCACATCACTTTTTGAATTAACTTGCGCTGGCTAATTATGCTTCCTCTTTCTTTTCTCTCTGTGGCATCTTAAACAATAACTCTCTTTTAGCCGGACTTAAAATCACACCAGGTACATTTCTCTTTTGTCAAATTACGCAAAGTGCATGCCTCCATGTTTAGGGGTGCGTTAAGTGTATATGAGTTTATGTGGTGAGTGTTAGTTGTTGAAGGTATTCAAATGTCTGTGGTTTGAACTTTTTTTGTTATTGTTGGCGTCTGCTGTGTTTTAATTCATATTAAGAATTGGCATGTTTCGGATGAGCACAAATATGTTTGCATGACAGTGGAACCTCCAAAAGTGAATCCACGTTTTGTGACACTGGTTAACAATTTTATTCATGAAAGGAAATTTTTTGAGAATGTGTTTTTTAAAATGAGAAAATACCAGAAAGTCTCTGAAAACTGTGCTTGTGAAGTGACTTAAGTTCACTTTCTTAAAAAAAAACCTTTATTCATGTTAAAGGGGAAGTATGTTCTATGCGCCTCCACTCCATTCTGATTCATACGACCAATTACGACTCACCTGTTTTCTGAAGCTGAACCATGATTGGTTGTTACCTGAGCCCTTAGCAACTGCGATGTCATTTTTAGTCGACAGCAGGTGGCAAAATGGCCGTCCGTCCCCTGAGACGGACAAAAACAAATGTATTTTACTGCTTAACTCGTTTTCCACAAACGCATCATGGATCAGAATGCCATGGTAAGACTAGTAGAGCTGCATAAAACTTATGATTGATAAGACTCTTTCTGGGTTGACCTCCCCTTTAATGCCTTGTTTTTCAGTAAGATTTTAACATTCCCAACTCTCATACAAGTACGAAGACAAGATACTGTATCCACTTCAGTTAATATGAAGTAAAACTACTTAGCACTTACAGCAACATCATTATTCTTTCAGCTACATGCTATCTCCATTAGCATCTGCAAGGTGAAATTCATTTGTGTATGTGATTGATACTTATTAATTGTGCCTAGATATAAAGTTCTATATTATTAAGATAAAATTGTACTCCATTCTTGTCAGATATACCGTATAATTCTATTATAATCGTTAATTCTACTTTTGGAGCTTGGCTTATGTGTGGGTTGTGCTTGCAGGTATTTCTTTGCAGTATTGGCCATCCTAACGGTTCTGGGAGTTCTGAATGGACTGGTCCTTCTTCCTGTCTTACTGTCCTACTTTGGGCCCTATCCTGAGGTAAGCATTTAAATAAACTAGGAAAAAATACAGGCCCTGAATATATCAGACCAGCCCCTAATGATATACATTTGACCGATTTATTATTTAAGGTGATTCCAGTGGATGGTCGCAGCAGGTTACCCACCCCGGAGTCGCCATCCCACGTGGTCCGCTTCTCTGTCCGTCCCCGCCCCACCGCCTCTGCCTCGGCCACCTCAGGCGCAGCCTCAGATTCGTCGGACTCTGAGTACAGCTCCAACAGCAGTGCGTCGGGCATCAACCAGGAACTGCCGGGCGACAACCTGTCCCCGCATAGGGGACAGGCCGGACAGCAGGAGCAGCAGCAGTACCATCTCCCCACCAGCAGTGGCAGAATAGCCAGGACGGAAGAGGAAAGGAGGATGGCGTCGGGCCACAGGCGCCCAACCAGGCACCCCGATCCCGCAGCCTATAATGTGTCCTCGGTAAGACCACACTGTCTCTCGCGGTGGGTTTCCATTTGACCATTCACTGATCATTAAGAATTTAATTGATTGTATGCAATGACTTAAAAAAAACAAACAAAACCAAAAAAAAACTTATATCATTATATTTTCTACCATCTGAAATCGATTTTAAAAATACACAAAAAGCTAAAAAAAAAACGATAAAGAATTGTAAATAACACATTAAGAAGAATATTTATCTGACATAAAAAGCCATTTTAAAAAAATCATTAATTCAATGGGTTGTTTTTTTTCATCATTAATTAAACAGTAAAATGGAGGGTGAAAACTATATTTCTTTTATCTTTCTATTATTTAACATGATTTTATAAATTAAATTGAAACTAAGTTGAAGTAATATTTGTTAAAAAGATGGAACATACAACCTTTTTGAAAATTACTTTGTTTTTAAATATTTTATGGATGTTAGAGTCAATGGAAAAAAAATTGACAAATGTTGAAAAGAACAGCAAAGACGGTTTCAGTATTTTATAATTTTTGTGAACATAAAAAAGTCGATTTTAATTACTTAGAAATTAATGTTAATTTCCACAATATTCAGTGAAGTATAAAAATGCCCATCGGCACCTCCTAAATAACTACAGCCAAGTATATTGTTATCATTATTATTGTTATAATGAGTAAGAGATGTTTGACTTTGTTTTGTTGCACAGTCTCAGGGTTGTAATGCTGGACCCGGGCCCAGCGTTCCTCAGCGTGCCAGGGAGCCCAAGGGCCAACAGCACCGGCAGGCCCCGCCCCCAGGCCGCCCGCGCACGGACGCTTTCGAAACCTCCACCGAGGCCGGTGCCCACTTTGGCGCCCACGGCCACAGGGAACACTTTGCGGGCCACCGGGGGCGTGCCCCTCCGCACCACCCCAACACTTACGGCCAGCCCATCACGACAGTGACGGCGTCGGCCTCCGTCACCGTCGCCGTCCACCCCCCTGGCTCCTCTTACCCGGGATACGCTGCAACAGACACTTACCGGCAGGAGGAGGCCCAATCCTCCTTCCAGGACCCCCACGTGCCTGCAGACCTCCACACGGGCGCCAGAGGAAGCACGGTGGAGCCAATGGAGCTCCAGGATCTGGAGTTTGAGGCAGCTGATGGCAGTAGTGGCAGTCGGGCCAGCTGAGGTTTGTCACCATATACATTATGTTCATAGAAAACCTTTGTTAACTAATATTTAATACCAATTTTTGTCTTGCAGTGTGTTTATGCCTGTCACGGCCAAAGATGGACTTTAAGCAGATAACATGGCCCAGCCTGCCTCGCCCGTGGTCCTTTTGCCTTCTCCTCATGGTGCTCATTCTTACTGTAACCCGGTGGTCTGTTGTCTTAAAATATTTCTATCTATATTTAAAAAGATGTATACATATGTACATAGGAACAAATGAATTAGCTCCTTTTTTTTTTTTTTTTGTTACTAAGGGGAGAAAGTTGTGCAAGTCCTCATGTTAACAGACTTGGACTGCCATTGTGTGAATGTGTGTGTGTGTGTGTGTGGGTGTGGGTGTGTGTGTGGGTGTGGGTGTGCGTGTGTGTGTGTTCCATCACAATATGTTGGCCCATTTGAACTATGCAAGGAAGTACAAAGGAAAGGAGGAAGGAATACGAGTAAGCGATATGCTATTTTAATACATTCTGCTATAATTGAAATATTGGAAGAAAATCTGCTCCATAAATGAATATCAATGAAATTATTGAATGTAATTGCAAATACCATATCCATATTAACAATATTAGTGTAAATGGTAACACTGACATTTTCATATTTAGAATTCAGTGTTTTTTAGTAGGTGGGAAGGTGTTGACTGGTTAGCACATCTGCCTCACTGTGCAGAGGTTCAGGGTTCAATTCCGGCTCTGGCCTTCCTGTGTGGGGTTTGCATGTTCTCCCGGTGCCTGAGTGGGTTTTCTCCAGTTTCCTCCCACATTTCAAAAAAACATGCATGGCAGGTTTATGGAACACTTTAAATTGTCCCTATGTGTGATTGTGAACGCGAATGGTTGTTCATCTATGTGTGCCCTGCGATTGGCTGGCAACCAGTTCAGGGTGTCCCCCGCCTACTGTCCCAAGAAAGCTGGGATAGGCTCCAGCATGCCCATGACTCTTGTGAGGATTAGCAAATTTGAGAATGAATGGATGGATGTATGGATGTTTTGTAGTAGATCATTATTGTGACATATCGTCCCTAGGTTTCTTTTCGAATATAATAATTAGCGCGAATCACGGAATAAAATACAATTTTATGACACTGTTGACATCGTTGGTAGAAGACCATATCCTTCAGTTCAGTGTGTGTGTGTGTGTGTGCGTGTGCGTGTATGTGAATGATGATGGTTGTACTTGTACAAAGGTACGCATGTTCAATTCTGACTTTTTATCACAAACCTGTGGTAGTTTTTGTAACAATGACTGTTTTTAACCCCACACGCTATGCGTGTTATTTAAGACAAGCAGATATGAAGATTTTCTTTTTTTTTTTTTTGTATTTTTTTCAAGTCACTGCCTCTACCTTGGAACCTGTTTGTGCACTCAGCTTCTTTTACCAATGTGTTTGTTTTTTCTTGTAGGAAAAAGGTGGGGAACCATTGAAGTTTTTATAAAGTCCTCCAAGGGCCAGAAATCGCAAAAGTAGTCACACTACACATTGTACTTAAGAAGTAGTACAGGCACTTGTGTTTGGGGAAAAAAGACTCTGGTAAAAGTAGAAGTACTGGTTCAATTCCTGTTCTTTTGTAAAAAAGTACAGAAGAAAAAATATTTACTGTCCATTGTATAAGATATCTGTTTTGACAACATGCTCAATGAAAAACAGTGTGTACACACAATAGTTTACCTCTATTGTTAACTTACATTGTGAAGTGACCAAGAAAAAAAATTAGCTGATGATAATAGCTTAAAAAAAGGTCGTATCGGTGCTCTTATTTGGCCCATGGGCCATATGTTCCCCACCTGTACTGTAGAAGCTTGTCTTATTTAACCTTAGCAGGCAACAAATAGTTTTATTTCTTTTTCCTTAAACCACCTCAGAAAGTTCTGGAACAGGGTCCAAACAAACGGGTGGGGGCGTTAGCCCCTCCTTTGGTTCTAGCCTAGCGGATAAGCTAAATATTCGCATAACATACTGTACAAGCTGGCCCAACCAGGCCATCAACTATAACTCAACTCATAGCAACAACTTTCCTCATGTAGGTTTTCTGTTTCCTTTTAGGCCAAACAATAAGCTAGTTAGCCCGCTAGCCTGCTAATGGCTAAATGCTTCATGATCTTAGCATATTAGCATGTGTATGTATCCTATTCCTTACCCTTTCTTATCACTTAACTGGAGTTAGCATCACAATGTTAATTGGACCCCCTTGTGTGTGTGTGCGTGTGCGTGCGCGCGTGCGTGTGTGTGTCCTCTTCCTGTCGTCTGTCCAATCAGCTGCTTGCATGAACAAGGTTGTTCGATTATTTTTTTTGTGTTTTCTCTCTTTGTCATATTGGCAGTAGAGGAGAAAATCATAGCTGGCAACTATTTTATTCAATTTGAAATATGTTTTGTTTGTTTGTTCTCGACAGTCAATTGTGATATTTATATATTTTTTGTAATATAAGATGTTTTTTGTCATTTGTCATTTTTGTTGTGATGCCAGTGGATAACAAATGCAGGGATTTTTATGAGGTAAAAAAAAAACACTATTACAGTTTATTGTTTTGATCTGTATAAAGTGCTTACTAATGTTAAATAGGAGGATTAAAAAAAAAAAAAGATGATATAACATTTTTACACTACAGGTCTCATCATAGCTCTTAGCGTTTTGTTTTGTTTGTTTTGTTTTGCAATTGTTCCAGACTGCCATTTTGGATGTATGCTGTTGTTCCGTTACAAAGATAAATGTATGCCATATAATTTATTTATATGAAAATTTATTTTTGTAGTGTACATAGTAGCGGTCAAGGCTATTTTGACAGAAGTATATATGAAAGATTTTATATGGAATGTTATACAGTACCATACCACGGGAAAGGTGCACACAACATCAACACTTCCCCTTCAGTATTACACAGCTGTGTGCGCGCATGTATGTCTGAGTATGTACGTGAGTGTGTGCGTGCGTGGCCATCCAAGTAGAACATTGTACTAGCCCGCCAAATATTCATGTTCAAACACTGATAGAATTCTAACTAATAAAATCGAAACTATAACTTATTTGTGTCTTTGTTTAACTTTAATAATAAAAAAAGGAATTGCAAAAAATGTGGACTGTGGTGGTTTATTTTTATTTTTCTTATTAATTAATATGATTGATGGAAAGATAGATTTTTTTTTCAAATGTATGATTTTTTTTCACCCTTCTAACAAAATAATTGTATTGACTGCTTCACCATGATGCCAAACATACTTATATGTGGCAAATTTCAGATGACAGCGCCATTAAACATACCAATAGTTGAAATGCAAACGATTCCTCAAGTTTTGATGAAACGAGTTAAATCAGGTTACCAAGTTAAAGCTGATCATTTTTACTGTATTCTAAGTTTTGTGTTAAGCATTTTTAGATCCTTTGAAATTCATATTTTTTTTACCCACACTTTAAATAAAAAATCAGTATTTGACAAATTATCAATTAATGTATATTTACTTTCTGACTCAAATTTGTGTCCTTGCCTATTTTATCTATTTTGATTTATTTTAATCCATCCCTTATCCAAGTCGGTTATATATTATTTTATTTGAATTACACAAACCACATTAATGTATTTTAACTACCCTTTTATAAATCTTTTTTATGTATTTATAAGTCTGTTTCTAATTGTAATGAATACATTATATTTCATTTTTTTACCCTCAGAATTATTTCATACGCCTATCTAAGGTTCCTCCAACATGTGGCCTATAGCCCCCATCGTTGCACCCCACTCTGCCTTCACCCTCACACCCCTCGCCTCCATTTTATGATTTTGATTGACAGCTTTATAGACTGCAAGGAAATTGGTTGGAGTCAGAATACAGCTGGCCCTGCTCCGAGTCGTGAAAAAAAGGGCATGAGGCCTCGAGTTGGCGGGGCAGCAGGCAGGACATACCCCCACTCCAGACCCCCACCAAAGCCCACCACCACCCTTGTCAGCTGCATGGGTGGCAGCTCTATGTGAGCTGGTAGGTCAGCATTAAAAGCAAACTACATAAAGATGGATGCTGGGGAATGTCCTAATATGTCATGTCTGTGATAAAGTTGAAGGTGCTGACTTCAGATCAGCATGGGGAGGTTTGAGTCATATTTTTTTGAGCCAATAAAGACAGACACACAGTAACAAGAAACGCATACACAGCAAACTGTCGATTGTCACAGTTTGAACTCCGCTAACTCGACTTGACATTTTTAATCCGTTATCTTAACAAGAATGCGATGCTTTTTAGTTGTTGTCCCCCCCCCCCACCCCAACTGTAAAATCCAGATATCGTTTAAAGACTCCATAAGTAATCATCAGAATGCTGCTCTGGCCTAAAATAAGTAGTACTATATCTCATTGCCGTGGCAACACGTTTTAAACACGACTTTAGCGGATTTTATGTTGGTGGATCTCTTATGACATCTCTAATGTTGTACTTGCATTCGCGTTGACGCTAATCAGGATAAATGTGTAAGAGGAATCCCTTTTGCTCACGATTTTAAAATAAAGCTGATTTTTAAGTAAAATATTTAATAAATGTATAAACACAACCTTTGTTGTTGCTTGGGAACCTAAGATAAAGCTGCAGTCAGCTCTATGGTTGATCGGTCTGCCAGTACACCTCTTGTTGTGCTAGCAATAGCCTTACTGACTTTCGCTTAACATTGTTGGGCATTCACCGCTGACGCAAATAACTCATGTTCCTGTTCAGTGTAGTTGGCGCTGTGTTTAAATCTTTGCACACTTTTGAATTTATTTAGCACAAAGGTAACCTACTAGTGGAAACCTGCTGTGCACAAAAAAAACAAAAAAACAATCACAACATGAATTATCCATTACCGTAAGCAGTGCTTTAAATCAGCTTTTGTGTAGAGGTAGCTGATGACGTTCTCCCAAACAGAAGTTGAAGTGCTTATATTGTCTGACTAATGAGCAGCAGGTTGTTAACAAGTGTTTCCTGTGCATGTCCTCTTCAGAGGACAGGAGGATGAAGAAGGGAAGAAGAGTAAGGAGGCAATTAGGAAGTTCCTTTTCTCTCGGGTCATGGCTATCTTCCCAGACGGATGTGCATCAAATCGTTCGTCACAAAATGGCTTCCAATTACCACATACAATACATGCATGCTTTGTTTTTCAGATCCATCTGCTGCATCCGGTGGTCCCTCTGCTCCAATGCAAGCTAAGTGTAAAGGCAAATTCAAGGTAAAGTCCTTCATCTGCACCTTCTTTAACCAAATCAAAATTGGTTTCTTCCTTGACTCCACCCCTCCACTTTTTTGATATGGACATCAACCTCTGATAATATCACAAAGATCACCACAGTACTTCGAATTTTATAGACAAAGCATTTTCACTGTGTAGCGGCATAAGATTCTGTTGTGAGCCCCTCTACGGAAAAGACAAACACTAATCTGTAATATTGGGGTGATCCTTACACTATTTTCAGAAATTGAGGTGAGCATAAATAGATGCATCAACAGAAATTTTTGGGAGAATTGATTGCAATTTTTAGACCTTAGACGACGCTTAGTTTCCTACAATATTCGTTTAGGCTGAAACTGGCACATCACAGTACGGCAAGTGAGGAACTTGTAACTCCCCAACTCACTAACGCACTACATAACTGACATTCTCCAACAACTAACTGGTTCACGAACGCGACAGCTAACTTAACTCACGCTAATGAAATCAGTCAGTAACTCATCTCACATTGAACCTTTTAAAATGTTGATCATCAATGATAAAATGATCAGATCAAACATATCTAATATCGATTCTATTTTGTATTTCCTTCCCTTTATATCTGCATGTGCAAAGAATTTTTTTTAAAATCCGTTAACTCCCTCCACTTGTCAAACCCAGAAAGGCCTGATCATCATCAAATGTACTGTATATCTGATGGATTGTTCTGTTGACATCGCAGCACATACAGACACACACGTACGCACGCACACACACACACACACACACACACACACACACACACACACACACACACACACACACACACACACACACACACACACGCGCGCTCCTGCCAGATGCATGGCTTGGATTTACACGTTCTTTATAAGAAACAGAGTTCAAGAATAAATCTGCAGGAAGCATCACACCGCTTGTTGATACCACTCCACATCAGCCACTTTTGAGGAGACAAGTGTGTGTGTGTGTGTGTGTGTGTGTGCGTGTGTGTGTGCGTGTGTGTGTGTGTGTGTGTGTGTGTGTGTGTGTGTGTGTGTGTGTGTGTGTGTGTGTGTGTGTGTGTGTGTGTCAAGGAGGTCAGTGTGAGGCCTCACAGACACCTTGAAAACCATTCAACCCAATGTGTGTGTGTGGGGGGTGTGGGGGGTTGTGTGCGGGTATGTTTGTGCACACTTACTATTGCTATGGCGAAGGAAATGTGTTTACGTGCTCTAAAAGTCACTATATCTTAAATCATCATGTTTAGTTAGGCTTCATTTCCAGGATGTCTGTGTGTGTGTGTGTGTGTGTGTGTGTGTGTGTGTGTGTGTGTGTGTGTGTGTGTGTGTGTGTTGGCATGCCATTCATGAATGACAGCGATGTTTTACATAAATGCACTTTCCTGCTCTCCTTGAGTGATGACATGAGCTATGTTCAACTACAAATACACATGCGTCATTTATTGTGCCTGTTGTATACATGGAGTATCCTTTAACAAATCATAACTCAAAAATGCAACTAGCATCGCATAGCATTATTTTCAAAACACCGTTTGAGTAAAAGACTCAAGAAATATAAAACATCTAAAAAGGTGTGCGATGAAATATACCAGAACCACCTGCTCACAAAGGCTGCATCTTTATCCAGAGCTGCACCAATATTTAATGGTTTCCTCCTTGTCTCATCTGTCACCCAGCTACAAAGTTGAACAGAAAATACTCAACAGGCCCTGTTGGAGGTCTGCTGAGTTCACTTGGTGATATATTTTACATTCGGCATATTTCGGAGGCTTTGCATTACAATACAATACATCTTTATTTATTTAGCGCTTTCACAACAGCTGCTCCACAAGAGTATCAGGTTGGATAAAAACAAACATTACAATCAATGGGGTCACTCAGGGATATGTCCTAAGTCCTGTCCTGGTGCGAAATCAATCTAATAACACAGTAAGTTCATATTTTCCGTTGTGAATAACTAAGAAATAACACAAAAGAACAAAACCATCAATTCGATAATGTTAACCAGTGGTTAGGGTTCCCTGTTTTTACTATTCGGGGGGGCGGGACATGAGAAAGTCCTCCCATGGGCCTCTTTTTCCTGAGGAAGCTACACGACAACCTCGTGGTTAACTTTTTACAGGTGCGCTGTGGACACTGTCATCTCAAAGTGCATCACAGCGTGGTGCGGCCGCCGCACCGAAGGCTCATTAAAATCACTCGCCTTATGATTGGGGCCCACCTAACTAAAAATGGGGGGAGACATTAAGCAGGCCTGCTGTTGTCAAGGAGAGGCCCTAAACATCATCCTGGCCAGCACCACTTCCTGTTACCTCCCTCTGGAAGAAAGTGCAAAACAGAAGCCAGAACTCACTGCCATTAAGTTTTGACATTGAAATTAAATGTGGGCTTTCCGGACAAAGAAGTATTGGACCAAATTAGTCAAGCATTAACTTCGAAAAGGGTTAAAAAAAAAATATTTCAATGTTTTTAATATTATGATTTTTTTTCAATCTCAGTCATCAGCTTTGCCTTTCATGATGATCCTTTTATATAAATGTGCTTTGATTAAAGTCAATTACATTTATCACCATCCCAAATTGTGTGCGTGTGCATGCGTTCTTGTGTGGATGCTGCGCGTGTGCGTGTGTGTGTGTGTGTGTGTGTGTGTGTGTGTTCAACAATCCCATTCAACTTCCATGCAACCCACTGGTCTAATGGGAAGCAGGTGTCTATACAGTTAGTGTAAGTGTATACGTACATTTCAGTGCAGTGATTGGATGAATGTACATCATTGTGTGTGTGTGTGTGTGTGTGTGTGTGTGTGTGTGTGTGTGTGTGTGTGTGTGTGTGTGTGTGTGTGTGTGTGTGTGTGTGTGTGTGTGTGTGTGTGTGTGTGTGTGTGAGTAGCAGTGAGTGAGTGGAGGCCCAGGGCAAACATGCCTTTATTGATACAATGAATCGGAGCGGCAGGGTGATCGACTGGTTAGCACGTCCGCCTCACAGTGCTGAGGTGCAGAGTTCGCTTCCGGCTCCGGCCTTCTTGTGTGGAGTTTGGATGTTCTCCCCCTGCCTGCGTGGGTTTTCTCTGGGTGGTCCGGTTTCCTTCCACATTCCAAAAAGATACATGGCAGGTTAATGGAACACTTGAAATTGTCCCAAGGTGTAAGTGTGAGCGCAAAAGGTTGTTCATCTATTTGTACCCTGCGATTGGCTGGTAACCAGTTCAGGGTGTAACCCGCCTATTGCTCGAAGACAGCTGGGATCGACTCTTGTGAGGATGAGCGAATCAGAAAATGAATGAATGAATGAATGGATGGGATGAATGGATGATCCAAGCAAAGGTTTTTATGAAAGGTTTACCTTTTTGCCTTGGATCTTCTCTCCCACATAGGCGGAAAAGGGTCGGGTAGAGTCAGCAGGAAGACAGACTCTCTGCAAAAACTGATTATAAAATGAATATATTAATGTGACTCGAAAACAGCTTTTTTCACTATAGTACCATCTGCTGGATCCTTTGGGGTACTACGCAACTGTCCACTCACGCAGTTCAGCCATTGAAATAAATATACAGTAAATGACCTGATTGCAATGACACTGAAAATGTTGGATTTCTCCATGATGAATTAATGCAGTTACTATTGATCTTGAAAAAAGTATGAGTTATGAAATGCAGTATCTCATCTGTGTCTCAACTTACCGGTTGATGAAACTGAAGTGTACAAGACAGCTGTGTAAAACTAGATGCAACAGCATCTTTAATCAGAGGGCTCGTCTGAAGAGCGCCCACATACACGCACAAGCTACACGCACACACACATTCACGCATGCACACACACGCAAACATGTACACGCGCACACGCGCACGCGCCCACACACACGCACTCACACGCACACACACGCGCACACACACGCACACACACGCGCGCACAGTTAAAAAAAATACGTCATCTTGTGTGTGTCCGACCGTGCATGTAGCTTATATGAAATATGTATTTGTATGCATTGCTGTGTATGTGCCAAAAGACTCAGCGATGCTGTTTCACATTGGTCACAGCACGCTTCTCCTTTTCTCCGCCAATCCCTGGTTTCCTCTTGACGCTCAGAAAATGCTGAGAACTACTATAAAGAAGCGTGCGTTGAGGATAGATTACAGTCAAATATCTATAATATTTTTAAGGCATGTGAGAGAACGCGAGATGACTTCTCTGAGTTAGTTTGCCTGGCTTCCCAAAGGACACAGACTTAAAGACCCATAAAATTCTTGAACAAGGTGTGCACGTATGTACGTGCACGTGTTTATGTATGTATGTATGTATGTATGTATGTATGTATGGTTATCGCAATTATTTTTATAATATGATTTCGTTTATTCATGTTTTCAATGTAATTTGAATTTAATCAGTCATTGTCTTCAAGTGTACGGACAATATATTAAAAATATATGTTCAAATGTGCATTTTTAAAAAATATAGAATTGGTGTAGCTGAGTGGCCCTTTTGCCTGACAACCGCCACTGGCATTAAAACTACTACATTTCCCACAATGCAGTGTATGCAGAGGTAAAACGTCATTGCCCATCAGCCAATCATTTTAGCTCGTACGCGGAACTCTGTGAAAGAGGGAAATACAGTTTGTTGACGTCGTCTGGGAAAAGTTAACTTTACCTCTTCAGTGTAAAAACGAAAATGATACATTCGTTTTACTGGAATTTAAGTTCGTCTTGTTGTTCAAGGGTAAGTTGTACTCCATTTCAACGTCGAAGAAACGCTCAAAACGTTCCTGTCACGAGGGTGTTCAAAATGCTTGCAAGCGAATGTCTGACATGAGTGTCAATATTTCCCTTGAATTATTTAATGTCGAAGAGCGCTTTTTGTGCATGTACATATTTTTGTGGGCAACTTATGTGGCTGTTGTCAGCATTGTGTAAGCACCGCAAGAATGTGCTATGAACCTTCAGTGCACGATCGAAGCTTTGCATTGAGCTCTTGGTGAAATCTTAACCACAAGTGTGGTTTCCGTTTTCTTTGGATTTTTTTTTTTCTTGGGATGCTGCCATAGAAAGGCTAACAGTGGCAGCAAAGGGAAAAAATGTGACAACCATTGAACGGGTAGCATGCCCTGGCTACTTAGTACAAAACAGTGGGGTCATAGGCTCACGACGTAACATAACACGTGATAGGAAAAAAGCGTTAAATAAGTGTGAATTTGTATGAACAACTGAGCTACTATTTTATTATAGTTCACAAAATTCCCCCTTTATTGTAATTCCACATTTTACACCTCCCACACAAAATACAATTTATGGTGAAATGCAACACATTCCTCCCAAATTTACACATTTTCAATTGAGTCAAACCACTTCAAAATGTCCACCTTTCTCAACTCAACTCAACTGTATTTATAGAGCACTTTAAAACAACCACATCTGAGTCATGCTGAGTCACAAGCCAAAGAATACAAATAAGTTTTGAGACCAGTTTTAAAGATGGGCATCGAGGGGGCTTGCCGAATGTTCAGTGGGAGGTCATTCCAAAGAGAGGGACCAGCAATGGAAAAGGCTCGGTCCCCTCTGAGCCTCCGCTTAGTTCTTGGTACCTCTAATAATGTCTGTTCCGCAGACCTGAGGCAGGTGCGTAGGGGCGGAGAAGCCCGGAGAGGTAAGGTTGGAGGCCATTTAAAGATTTGAAAACAAATAATAGGATCTTAAAAAGAACTCTAAAATGTATAGGGAGCCAGTGAAAGGATGCCAGAGTAGATGGCAAATTTCCCTAGTGTGGGACTTATCTTAGAAGTTATGTGCTCCCTCTTGGGAGTATCAGTCAAGAAGCGAGCAGCTGGACCAACTTTCTGCTTATTCCTACTTTTTTGAAGATATCCACATTTTCAATGTGAACATTTCCAAACTTATAAAGAAATCTACTTCAATCCTATACTTCATTTTTCATTCTTAAAGTCTCCCAATCAACATTTTAATTTAAACTACAAGGGCCCCCTGCATAATCGCGGTTCAGCCCGCACGGTTTCACCTATTAACAAATATTTTTCCTCCTGTATTTTTTAAATGCATTTTCAAATACAACATAAAACATGGGGGTGGTTGGGGATGGTTTAGGTGACTCCAACTCATTTTTTTTTTCTTTTAATTTGTGAATGCTGAACTGCAAATATGCCGGGTTCACTGTACTTCGCATGGGAAGAATCGATTTAGAATGGTTGTACAGTCTCCATTCACGGTTTGTGTTTGGTCTTGGGGGATCCTGTTGTATACTGTCTTGTCACATCATGTTTGACAGCGACAAATTTAGCCGTTGCCTTGGTGATGGCTGTGAAGCGGACGATGCTATGATGTCATAAAGGTTTGCAACACGAATACAAAAGCACTGCTCCTGCTGTGTTCTGCTGGTGCTTCGACATGACCGATGGTTTGCAAGCTTTTGTTGGAACTGCTCTTGTAGTTAATGCCGAGTGCATCCCCAGACAGCAGGCCAGCATGTTTTCACGCCTGTTGCGATTAGCATTTGACATCTACGGCCAGGCCTGCCAGAAAATGTCCAGCATGTTCTTTGAGGCAGAGAAGGAGCGTCTGGAGAAGGAAGTGAGGGACCTGCAAGCGCAGCTCCAATGTCTGGAGGAGCGGGTAAAGACCAAAGAGCCCGCCGTGGTAGAGCTCTTGGCCAAACTACGGCTGGAAATGGAAGAGTACAAGACCCTGTGGGACCAAGTGGAGTACTTGACCAAGGAGGTGGAAGTGCAAAAGATGAAGAAAAAAAACGAGAGTGATCTTCTCCAAAAGGTGCGGGACATGTGTTTGGGAGATGAGCACGAGAGAATGAGGCGACTCCAAGAACTGGCCTTGGAGGTAGACCACGTCGCCGCCGAAAATCCGACGCAAGCGTTTCCGGAAGAACAGGCCGAGATTGACGAGGAGGAGCGAAGGTGGAACGAGGTCTTTGTGGAACTGATGGAAGCAGCGAGCCACTTGTCTTATCAGAAGGGCTTGGAGGAATTGTTGGCCTTGAAGGAGCAGGAACTCCGCAAGGAGGAAGCCCAAAACGACCTTCTCCAGTGGGTCATTGAGAAGGAGATCGAGTTTGCGGCTGATTACAAGAAAGAGTTGCGGAGGCTTTGCAACTGTAACAATCACGGCATTTCCCAGGGTTGAATAAAAGATTCAAGGGAAGCCACTTTTCATACTCGTTGCTCCGCCAAAGTCATTGCAATTTGCAATTAACAGTTTTATGTATTCACTCTCAGGGAATAGATGATCTGCAGTACAGTTGGCTATAGCGGTCAGTGTGTCTGGCTCGCATCGTTCGTGGATGGATCGAATGATCTCTCCGCGAATGTTCTGAACTCCTGGCTCCATGCCAGAGCATAAAAGTCCTGCCTCACGGGAGTAGCATTGCATGGATAAACTGATGTCACATTGGTCTTCGTAAATGAATCTGCAGCCGCTGTGGTGGTTTCAGCCAAGTCGTGCACTTCATTACCTGGTCTCACTTGCTTCAGTACTGCATTAATCAACAATCAATGCAAAACAATTGACGGGACTTTATAATGATCCACGAATTGTCAAATCGGTAAACACTGATGTCACAACCGTTTTCAAATTGGTAATTAGCAAAGGCAGTCGGCTCACATTCATTTTCGTCGTGGGCCACATCGTAGTTCTGGTTTCCCTCCGAGGACCGTTATGACTGTGAAAGACTCTCTCATCATTTACAATCCATGTTTTTGATTGTTATTGTAAAGACTTTCAGTTCGAGATTGAATCCGAAATCATTTATTCGTGGGAAATAGTGGCAGGCAAACTATTTCCCAATTCGTGTTCAGAAGGCTTTTGGTGAAAATGAGGAACATTTGCAATATTTCAGTGTAGATTTTCAGCCAATATGAAAACAAATCTGTCTGAGAAGAAAGTTGAAGTCCACACATTTTATTTGTCACCTTCTTTCTCTGTTTACAAATTTAACCTAGACAGGTACTGTAACATTTTGGCTCTCAGAAAGTCTTCCCAAATATATGCCATGCAGTACTGCATGTCTGTAAATTACAACCTAATCCTAAAAATCAATCTATCTATTTATATATCTATCTATAGAGCTAGATATAATTATGAGTATCAGTCAAAACGGAGTATTTTTTTTCTACATCTCTTGTAGTGCATTCCATTAGACGGTGTGCCCAATGACATGTTTCTATCGTTCAAAAAAGTGATCTGTAACGTTTGTGAGTCAGTGCGTGTTTGAGCATATTTCATCAGTTTTTATAGCATGCACTTATTATTTTACAGCGTGCAACCTTCAACAAAACATGATTAAACTTTGATTAAAGCAATGTGAATGTTTCCTGGCTCTCTTTCCCGTTCCTTGACAATACACAGTCCACGACTACCCCACGTAATCACGACAATTGACTCTTTTCTCTCTTGTCAAAGGATACCTCATACGAAACCGAGCGACGTCTCAATCAATGGCCCTCGTTCAGCAAACAGAGATGCAGTTGTGGCTGGACAAAGTTGAAGCTTGGGGCCAAGCCCGCAGTGTGAACGTTCAAAAAGATACCTGCCTTCACCTGTGCTCACTGAGGGATTTCCTCCAGCGACTCTTGATGCATGTCGACGGCATGGTAAGTATCCAAACGCACGCGATACACTGATGCTGTCATTATTGATTGTTCATTCATACAAGCATGCCTCACGGAGCGGACACACTCAACCCGCTGAGAAAAATTATCAATTGGATCAGCGGCCAAACGGCCATCAAATTAATGATGCTAGGGTGCGCACACACACACACACACACACACACACACACACACACACACACACGCACACTCAGCCTCTGTCCAAGCTAGCCCGTGAACAGTAAGTCCAGCGTTTGGAGGCCAACAGAGACGGCTCTGTGCGCTGCAGAGGTCGCCTATATCTGGCTGACAGCGCTGCAATGTTGAGTTTGTCAGGTAATAGTCACACTGGGACCCGCAGTGCTAACCTAATGTATCCCCAAATCAGCTGTAGCAGCCTTGGGCAGGAGGGGAAGTGGGGGGGGGGCACTGTGAGATTTCAGTGTTGCTAAGACCGCAAGTGCTCGTTCTCCTTCTCAGGAATTACAAACTTGCTCGAATGGACTTTTCTTGACGGTTTTATGTGCTGCGTAACGTAAAATAGTTTGGACATTTTTAATGTGAAGTTTTAATTTCAATGACGCTTTCTTGTTTTAAACATGAAAAAACATAGGTGCCTTCCAGTGACTGGCTAATACACTGGTACCTTGACTGACAAGTTAAATTTGTTCACTGACCAAGCCCGTAACTCAGTTAACTCGTATATCCAATCAGACAAAATATGTTTTTAATTTTCTATGCAGCATAAAGATTGGACTCTGGAGCAATGGAAAAGGGATCATGTGGTCTGAGGAGCCCAGTTACTGTAAAAAAACAAGATTATGGTGAAAATTCTGACATAATGAGGTTAGATTACACAAGTTTATTGACACTGTCTCAGAGTGAGTATTTGTTGCCAGCAAAATTAAAAGATGTCAAATACCAGCGGTTGCCGATTTAACAGCTTGGACTGTTTTTGAATGTTTGCAGTATGGCCTCCTGCCTCAAATATTAGCAGTTGTTGTGCCAAAATACTTTATCTGTGGCAAGAGGAATGCCTGTCAATAAAAGGCAAAGATATAGGCACCAAATGAAAATTATCAGTTTTTATGACGAAGGGAGGGATTCAAATCAGGCCACATTTCATATTTAAACAAAAATGAGACATGATACAGTATGTGTGTGTGTGTGTGTGTGTGTGTGTGTGTGTGTGTGTGTGTGTGTGTGTGTGTGTGTGTATATATA